ACCACAACCGCCATCTAACAGCTAAAATCAGCAAATAAATGAGAGTCCTTTTAGTTGTTTCTATGTAACCAGTGAGTGTGTTAGTTGATGCCCCCGACCTGGAGGTTGATACCAGGGACTGTCCGGTTTTCTTTCGCTGGGTGTGCTGTGTATGTATCAGATAAAAAAGCCCTGTGATGATGGAACTTGCAGGTGTCTGCGCCTGTTTCTGTGGGAAATGCCATGGAATGCATGTGGGAATTCTGGAGCTCAGATGAGAAAAACCCACCAGTGAAGGTCAGTGTGTTTTTAGGCTGTCTGCGTGTGTGTGTGTGTGTGTGGGGGGGTGTGTGGTGTGTGTGTGTGTGTGTGGGGGGGTGTGTGTGTTCTGACACATGGAAACCAAGCAACCCTCGGGGGATAATTGTTCATAGGAAGTGTTTGGAAAAGGCCGTGGAGTGTGACAAGAAAAAAAAAAAACATTTTGTATGTTTGTGTTACCACATCACTTCAGAGTGTCATTCTAAACCATAAAATAGCAACATTGTTATTGTGAGATTCTTTCAAGTAACATAAAAGTAATGGCAAAATAATGCAAGGACACATTCTCAAAGAAGATCAACAAGTTTTAAATTCTAGTGAACATTTAACACTGATACTGGAAGACATTTTAAATATCCAAAATGAATAAAAAAGATAAAACTAATAAAATGGACACTGAAGTCTCTGTAAGCAAAAAGCTATTTGGAACCAAAGCACCAGTCTGAAGACTTCTATCCAGTTTTTAGAGAAAAAGGAAAAACGGAAAATCATGCAAACGGAAATTATTGAGCTTGTTTTAATTTTTCATACAATTTATTGTGAATGAACTGGAACGTTCTGCTTTTGATTTTGGGGTGACTATACAAGAACGTGGATGATACCGCTGTCTGATTAACTGAGAATCACAGGCAGGAAATGGAGCAGAGCTCTGTTTGTACACCTGCTGTGAAAATTTGCTGAGACATCATTAATCTGGATGTTGGTTCTTTATCTGAGGCTGTAAAGATTGTCACTTAATATTAGTCAGCAGTGGGTAAATTTGGTAAACAAACAAGACAGGTGGAGTGTATAGGAGTGTAAAGGCATTGCTGGATCTGCTGGGTAGGAAACAGAGGATAATATTAGTGTTTGGATGGCTCTTGTGAGTGAGATTTATGTGTGTGTCTCAGAAGTAAAGGAATGCAGCGGTAGTGAAAAGAGCACCGCTGAGCTGACCAGAATCTGTGCGATAAAGGAGATCAAAGCACCCAGAGACTTCTCTGGGCTTCCAGTTCGCTTCTCTCTGATCCACCCGGTTCCCCAAACGACCCAAACACTTTCTGGATCTGAATTAGTGAAATATTTATTTCCTTTGCATCTCTTTATCGCTCTGTTTGTGCTTAAGCAGTTTTGCTCTGGATGATTCTGAGCCTGTGGCAACATTTTTGTATGTATATTTGTAGAAGTAGCTGTGTTCGTGCTTATTACCTCAGCACTCTCTTCTGCAGATAAGCTGAATTATTTATTGGAATACCGAGTTGCAGCATTTCCCAGGTTTTGTTGGCTAAGGGCGTCACATTGCTGACGTCGAGTCCAACGTACATCCAAAATGTCGTGAGCGCCTTCAGTTTATCCAGAGTTGAGTGCAAGTGTTGAGACTTCACTCCCAGGCTTAGAGAATGCCCTCAGCATCTCAGCAGAAATTCTGCAGAGGATAATAAATTAGCAAATTTTACGTGTTTTGGAGTTCTACTAGCATCTCTGGGAAGCACTCCCAGCAACTATGAAATTTATTACGTTGAGCTTTTCAAAAGGATTTTTTTTATATACCTGGGAAGAACCTTTTACTGTAAGGCATTAAGTAAAACCCACAAAATAATTTTGACATTTAATTGTGAAAAGGTAAATGTACTCTGAGATATATGCTGAAAATATTTGTTGAATTAAATATTTAAACACGTTTTCACCATTTTATGAAAGAAGGTTAATCCAGTTGATCAAATATTTAAGCTTCAGTATCAAAATTTCTGGCACATTTTAAACACACACATATAACTTGGACTATTTGCCTGAAGTTTAAGGTGAAAATCTTAAAATTGTAGTAAAATGCTCAACTAAGTGGTTAAAAAAATTTATTTTTATTTTGTAGTCAAATATTATGATTTTAATAAAATATTATAGCCAGATAGTTTTCAACTTGAGTGATTTTGTTTGCTTTCAATGCATTTCTCATACCTCTGTGCTTTCTTTAATTTGAAACAAACTAGACTGTGTATCACTTTCCTCCCCAAAAAACTAGACATGCAATGATCAAAGATTTCAAGGTAAATTAAGATTGAATTAAGGTGTAACCAGCCAATTCATTTTTTGGACTATTTTCCCTCTTTTTCTACTTCTACATGATAAAAAGCAAAAGACAAAATCTTCTTTGCAAGTAATGGATTATAATCAAACTGTGTTCAATTTCTATTGAACTTTAAATGAGGTGGAGAAACAATGTCTTTATATAAGTCACCATTTAATTCTGCCACTGATGGTTTGGATTATGAATATTGTGGTCTATGCATCACCAGTGTTGGTTAGTGAAACGTTTAAAACTCAGAGGCAGTTTAGATTAGTCTGAAGTAGGATTTTGCTAAGAGGTTATGAGCAATCGATGCTTTACTTTAGATAACTGACTAACCTTGTTCATGTTGATGAAACGGAGATTAAACCTGAAGGACAGACACCAAATGGGTTTCCATCATCCTAAAACAACCCCTGTCTGAAAAATCAAAGTCTCTCTGATCAAAGTGAATGTAACAAATTAAATTCAGATAACACCTGAATCCAATCACCTTTTTTGCTAAACTACTTGGGACATTTCGACACAATTTTAAGTCGTAAACTCTTAAAAGTGATGTACAATTTTCAAAAGTCTTTACTTGAGAGAAGCCAACCACAAACTCTTATTGCCGAATAAATCTTGGCTGTTGCAGTTCAGATTTCTAATAGTTAACCTTTAGTAATGAAATTAATCCTTGAGCTGCCGGGAAGTAAAGAAAGGCTGCAGAAGTACAATTTCATGCACGTTTAGCCAAAGTGTCAGTGTGGCCATTAGACAGGCAGCTTCAACAAAATATTTCTGTAGGTGACTCAGATCTTTGTGTTAATAAAAGAGAAGCTCCCAGCCGGAAGTTCTTTGGTTACATCTGATACATTTTGTTCTCTTGTACTGATGTCATATCCCTTCAGGGTTATGTGGGTCAGTGGGGCTTTATTGTTCCCAAAAAGCAGAGCCTCGACCTAACCTACACACACACACACCTACACTCACATGCAGTTAATTCAGCCCCGCCTGTCTGCCTTGCTGGTTAACTGTCTGCATGACATCATACATTTTTCATATAGTCTGTCGCTTGGTCAATATTTCATATCAGTAATCGACAGGCAAGTGAGAGTCTACTGTAAAGTGGGGGTTGGTGCTCCTCTCCTCCTCCCTTCCCTGTTTCTCTGTCCCGCTCTGGCCTGTAATTTAATTAGCTCTGTCTGCAAATGACAAAGGGCCAGTCACTCTGGGTCAGCTTAGATATCCAGTAGCTGCACTTCGAGCGGATACGAAGTTAGGGAGGAATGCGCTGAGCTGAGCGCGCTGCGTTTAAAAAAAGGTGAAGATTGCGAGGGTCCAGTTCAGACTTTGGTTCTGAAAGAGCTGAGGTCAGACAGAATGATCCTGACTGCATTTAGACTGTTGGTGTCAAAGTTTGACACCAACCAAGACAGCCAGTGGCCCAATATGGCTCCTGACAGAGTGGTTGTCGCCATTGACTTTTTTGCTCTAAAAATGGGCTTGTTTCAGTCAGTAAAGAACAAAATGTTTTTAAGCAGTAAACATGTTGCTTACAATGACAAATCTCAAATTCAGACTATTCTATTGTGATTACAAGTGATAGACCAACATAATGTGGCTCATATTTGTGAACTAAAAAGAAAATGATGCGTAGTTTTCAGATTTCTTTTGGCAAATATAAAATTTTAAACGTGGTTTCTCTGTGTTCGGTTTTCTAGAGTCAGCACTTTGTAGGTGCACCTTGTGTTGTGATTTCAGTCCTTTTGGTTGTGTCTTTGAAAGTTTTGTTCATTTACTGACCAGAGAATAGTTGCCAATTTGTTTTTGCAAAGTTTCACAAACCTATTCAGGTCAGATGAAGAGAATCTGTGATCAGCAAGTGTCAAAGTACTGCCACAGATTCTCAGTTGGGAATTAGTTTAGACTTTGAAAGAGCGACGCTAACACATGAATAAGCTTTGATCTAAAGTATTCTATTTCGTCTCTTTCGCTGCTTATCCTGCTGGAAGGTGAACTTGTGCTAAAGTCTCAAGGTTTTCTCCCATAATCTTACTGTATTTAGATCCATCTATGTTGTCACAAAAATATCACCAAATATTGTGCTTCAACTTTAACTCCACATCATCAATCCCTACTAAAGAGCACTTTGAGAGACATTCTTAGCTTTGGATATTTCTATATATCCTAACAATGCTTTAAACTAGTATCTTTACTCTTGGTTTTAGGATTTTTGTCCAACAGATGAGCTGGATTTATGCTGAGATAAACTATGCATCAATGGAGGGTAGTTGCATCTCCTGGGCTAAATTTAGGGTCAACATAATTAAGTAAAAAGTATACAAAAATACAAAAAAATTGTTAATACAAATACAACACTCATAGTAAAATAATTAAACAGAATATCATGTTGCTTCCACTTCATGTTGTATTTTTGGTTAAAAATGGATATAAAGAAGTTTTTTGGGGGTATGAATACATAAAGATTGTATTCATACCAAGAGTGAGTTTAGTTTATTCCTTTTTTCTGGATATGGTGTACATTTTTAACTTTCAGTGTGCTGTTATGTTGGGACTTGTCTACAGAGGACTGCAGCTTCGCTGCGCCTTTTCTCCTGGACTGTTTGTTTGCACGTTGCTAACAGCCTCGTTGTTTTTACTTGTTTGTTTGCAGTGCTCCCTACCTGCTCACCGCTGGATTTCCACTGTGACAATGGGAAGTGTATTCGTCGCTCCTGGGTTTGCGATGGAGACAACGACTGTGAAGACGACTCCGACGAACAAGACTGCCGTGAGTACAGATCCTCTTCAGCGACAACACACGCAGCGTGTTGCTTTTGCATACTGTGGACTCCATGTTTAGTCACAGATTCATACAAACCTTTTGTAACACTCTTGAGTGCAAAAGGGGGATTTATTGAAGTGGACAAATGTTTAGGACAGCCATGCATACTAAATTGTATATTTTATTACTTATTGGTGCAAATCCAGCAATTTATCACACTGAACAGACAATACTTTTAAATTCTTATTCTGTTTCCATTTTGACATGGTGTGTGTTAGGGTTAATGTGAATGTGTGTGTAAGGCTACACCAAAATATCCCCCAGCTGTCAGCCAAGCAAAAGTGGACCCAATGGGGAAGTCAGCACTGTCTATTTCTGAGATGGGTATTTATGTATCAGTGCATTGCTGCCTGGTGAATGTGTGCTGCTACATTTCCATCTTTGTTAGGATTCTTTTAAGAAGGTTGACATTTTACAAAATATTTCAAGAAAATTTCTAGAAACGATAAAACATTAATAACAACTTTTGCAGCCAAATCCTACCAAGAAACATCTGCTATTAACTATTGACTCCAACTATGGGATCATAAATATGGCATAAGATTGGATTCAATGTTGTTGAACATTTTTTTTATGTAAGTTGAAACAAAATATTAGCTATTTGGCCACATAAAAAGATGTATAGAGAACTAAAGTTGTTACTTTCAATCCTTAAAGCACAGTACCTATTGTACCAAGATGGTGGCAGCTTAAAATTTCTATCTTTTTTTTTTACTTTACCTGTGGGGAGAGGAGGAGAGGATGTCAGGGGAGTTATTTACTCTTCTATCTATACTTACCCACATCATGAACTTTATTCATGCCAAAAGGAACAGTTAATGTACCAACTTGAGGGTAGAATCAATTTATGCACAAGTATCTGTAGACATTTAATTTTGAATTTTCACATCTCAATACTTACAGTTGTCCATACTTCTCCCTATTAGATCTATTAAATTGCTTTTAACCTGTCTTTGCTCTTCTTTGAACTAATGCTGAATTCAGGACTATGTGCAATGGGAGTTAACTGGCTGCCTGAGGCTCCTGCCTACAAACTCAGAACAATTTGTCTTACTTACTTACGACAACGGGGAATTTGAGAAGATCACAAAATCTTAAATGAGGAGGTGGCTTTTCAGAGCTGAAGCCATTAGGTCAGTTGTGACTGCTGTGGCTGTAACCCAAGAGCCTGCTGGTGGGTGCCGTTGGAAGAAGCCATTAAGCAAAATAATGAAGCGTTTTGTGTTTGATTTACTCCGGAGTGACATGGTGACATTTTGACCTGATAAAGAGCTCTTAACAAACACTCAGAGATCATCAGTGTCATTAGGATTTATTCTCTGGTTACCAAAAACACCTGAAATGAACTCCAAAGCAGCATATTGTTTGCATTTATGTTTTAGTTTGACCTTTGTTTGATCCGATTTCAAGCCAGTCATTTATATTTAACCTGAGAATTGCACAAATTGATTTACTTTGTCATCTTTTGTCAGAATGGAAGGGGGGATTAACTTGTCTCTAATTAAAAAGCAGCTTCAGCCATTAAGGATAAAAATGAAACCTCTTAGAAAATCCAGCAGACACAGCTGTCACTTTGAGTGTTGTCTGTAATACTTCTTGTTTTTCGGCGGCAGGTACAGGCTACCTCTTTGTCCTCTGAAAGCTGTTTCTTATCCATCATCCAGCGATATCTCCTCCGCTCCTGACCCACATACTGTATCTGCCGCCAGACATTGAATCACTTCCTGATGGGGGGTCTGTCTGCTCCTGGCAAAGCTGGCTATGAATTTTTCATCCTCATGCCCAGTAAATTCCCCCCTTATTTTTGCTCTCCCCTCTCCACAACAAATCGGCTTTATTTCATTATTTAGAGACGGGGAGACGATCCTCCACGCTTGGCTGGAGATAAAGCAGTTTTCAAGATTCCAGACAAAAACTTGCGTCTGAGGTGTGTTGTTTCTGTGTTGAGGTGTGTGTTCCTACGTGAGATATTCTGGAGTTGAAAAGACAATTGACAATTCACAAAGGAAAGAAAAAAAAACACTATTTCTTGACATACACACACATGTTGGGGGGCCTTGTAACGACTCCCAGTGGCCTTTGCCCTTTGACGTTTGGCTGCTGTGTGAGTGATGAGCGTCTCCAGGGTTTGTTGATCTTTGACCTCTCTCTGTTTACCTCATGGACGGAGGAGAGGGATGATGGAAAAGACAGAAGACGGGGCAAATCAATTGTTGTCTTGCATCCTGAATAATAGATCAAATGAGAGCATTTGTCAATTGTGTTGAGGAAATGAAATTTTAATTTGGACCCACCCAACAACGCCTGTGCTTTGAAATGTATTTATTTTTAATAAAGGACAGTGTGGCAGGGGCTGGTTTAATGTGAAACCCAAATCAAGAAAGAGCAATTTATTTCAGAATGTTTACTTGACATTCCTGATTATTAGCTGAAGTGCAATAAATAATTCCTGAAAATGTCTGAACCCACAGTAGCTTTCACACTTAATATTGATATTACCTTTTTTTTATTATGTGCAAATGGCTCACAGTATACATAGCATTTGATTTTTAATAAAAGTGTCAGTAGCTAAAGGATTTAGTAGAGAGAAAAAATAAATAAATTCTGTCATACTTTGTAAGATCCACAAAGCATATAATTGCACCTGCCTTTTCTATTTTTTCTTCTGCCTTGAACATGAATTTCCTCTCCATCATCTTGCTGAACCTTTACTTAAAAGAACTGGAAGGATTTACAAAAAATAGTCTATTGTGTAAAACAAAAACAGAATCTCCAATATCGTGTAACATCTGTCACAAGTAATAAATAATACAAGTTATTTCAAACATCTTTTGCACATGGAAACAATTGTATTTATCTAGGGGAACGTTTCACTGTTTCTCAAATTCTCTATATGCCATTTTAACTCGCTTTGATTTTTAAGGCAAGACAGTACACACCAGCTACAAAGTTGAATTTTTGAACAATTTTATTTTTTGATAAAATTTCTCCACTTAACTAAAACTAAAAGCTTTTTTCTAACCTACCTTTAAACTGTAGCTAAATATGATTTTTCTTTTTGTAAATAAGATGTGTTAAGATAGCAAAAATACTGCACATAGTCATACTTGTTTATGTTGCTTGGTTGTGATTAAACCATTTTACAAACATGTAGAAATAATCCACTTTATATTATGCATAGGGACACATCAATAAAATATTTCGTTTTGGCTGTCTGCCCTCCTGTTATGTCTTTGATCTCAAAAGTCTGGTGCATTAGTGCTGCTTCTCAGGTGTGCTAGCACAATGTTGTTACCCCAGAGGATAAAATGAAACATGGAACAGGATTACAGTAGAACTTTCTCCTCCGAGTTTATTCCTCCAATCTTTTGGGATCCTGCTGGTTTTGCCTCCTCGACTCTATGTCAGTCTGTCTCTTAGGCACACACAGTAATGTTAAATAAAAGATTACCTTCTGCTTGTCATCTAACACTGGTTTTCCTTGATGAACTTGTTAACTTGGCCCCCATTGTGCTGGGGGTCACCATTGATTGTGGCAGCAGTGATTTTAGAAACTTAATAAGTGGCAAGAAAATAAGCAAAGGAAATCACTAATATAATAATTGCTTCCTGAATGTTTCATTGTGGATTGAATTTAACCTATTAACTGAAAAATGTCTTTGCACATATCCTCACATTTAGCGTGATTGCTCAAGAGAAGAAAACATAATTGAATACAAGACTTTTGATAATTGCTGTACTTGTACATTGAGCTCATGACCCCTTTTTCGAACACCCATGAACACAACATGATGAATCATAAAACAAGCCTTCATCGGTATTCTCTCACCAGAGACTTTGTGTTTAATCACTATATTTGTTAGTTGAGGTGGAAGCTCAGTCGACTGATCTGCCCTCGACTCACAGAGAGCAAATGCAGTTTTACTGGAGTGAGTGTGTTTTTCCACTCGGTGGCAAAACATTGAGTTCAGGGGCCACAAATAAATGGGAATGCCCTCCAATCAAAGATATGCACTTCACTGATTAATGAATGCCCTGTGGTTATTGCTTAATGCGCTCCTCAGGGTTTTTGGCAGTAATGTGATGCCATAGTTACATTATTTAATGTATAGAGCAGGTAGGCATTGTGCTTTGTTCCATTCCCATTTTGCTCCATTGTTCGATCTCAAATCATCATCTATGGGTTGTCCAAGAGAAGAGCAATTCATATTGTAAATTATGAGATTTTAAAATTAGATACATATACCTTGTGCACAAAAGCGCACATCATATGCGCATATTTTAGATTCCTCAATGTTTTGTATAGGGATCGGGGGGAGAAATTAAGCCAGAATAGAAAAAGTCAGACCAGATGAAAAGGATAAAACAGAGCAACTTTCTTAGAATATCTTGAAGCTTCCTGCTCTCTGCTAAAGTCCTAATGTTTGAGTTGGAGCCTAAATGAATATCATAAATGTCTCAACTATTGTAGAAATTACTGCTACTTCTCTGCTCCCTCTAACTCTTGAAAGCCTTATTGATACCAAAGGCATCTAAAGCTTGAAATATTGATATTGCTTGATTGGTGACGAATTCCACCCTGAAGAGGTTTGCGATTTGCTGATGCATCTGTTGCCTGTTCAGAAGCGACCATGTGGTTTGTTTCCTTTTTATGGCAAGTAGCATTTCTCATCTGACACTATAATTTAATTATCCTTATGCAAACGTTTTCCTTTTAAAGAACACTCTTGTCATCCCAATTAGGTTAGTCTGTTCAAAATGAGCTGTATCACAGTTTTTTTCAGCTTTTTAGATATTTTTTGTGCTGCATTTGTCGATAATCCAGGAATAATATCAATAATATTTTAAAGGTCAGTGACTGTGAAGATAACCCATTTATTTTTCTTTTCAAACTATTTGAGATTAGCTTTCATTGAAAGTCTTTCCAGCTGAGATCAAGCCACAGTGTACTCTGTGTTTGATCTGGTAAATGCCCTCCTCTGGAACCCTCCATCAGTTTTGGGGGACAAAGTGCATCCTCTCTGCTTCCCTCTGAATCCTACAAAAGAGACAGGGATTTTAGCCATTTATCAGCTGAACACTGTATCTGTATTTTTATTCTTTTTAAAGCACTTCTTTCCTTTTTGCAGCTCCCAGAGAATGCGAAGAGGATGAGTTCCAGTGCCAAAATGGCTACTGCATCCGCAGCCTCTGGCACTGTGACGGCGACAACGATTGTGGTGACAACAGTGACGAGCAGTGCGGTAAGTCGTCCGTGTTGGTGTGTTGTAAAACAGGCAGAAATGAATTTGTGCAGCCTTCATCTGTAACACGTGTTGTTTTTCATGTCAGATATGCGCAAATGTTCAGACAAAGAGTTCCGGTGCACAGATGGAAGTTGTATCGCTGAGCATTGGTACTGTGATGGAGACACGGACTGTAAGGATGGATCAGATGAGGAAAATTGCCGTAAGTAATAAAATTAATGAATACATAATTTTGCAGATTTAACAGTGAGGAATAAACATTCAACTCGAGACAGACGTATTTGAAGGAAATTATAGAAACTGACGTAAGCATGGAATGTTTTCATATTTTAGGTTCTGCACTAATTTTATTTAGATAAAGTCTCAAGTTTTGGATAAAATCATTAAAATAATATCTACTCAGACACTAATGAGAACCATAATTTAATTTATAATTAAATAATTTATTTACTGATGTAATTTTAAAAAATCTGTTTTTTAGCTCTTAGTCTTTTAACTGAAAACATGAAGACAAATAACGTTTTATTTTGGTGTTCTTATTGTAATAAAAACCAAATAATCCCCGAGTCCCTGTCAGGAATTATATTGTGAATTTTGACCAAAACCTTTGCTTTTAACTAAAGATTCACTCTTGTGAAAATTTGGACTGGTATCGTCCATCCCTACTTTTAACTGACTTATCAAACTAGTATTTTAAATTCTCTTCTTCCTTCTACAAACTCTGAAAACTTAGGCAAATCTTGATCTGAACCTATGAAGAGAAACTGGATTTGTACACTGCAGGCTCAACCTCTGTGGTGCACTTTTAACTTTATTTGGTGCTAGTTCCCTCAAAGCTCTCCAGTTGAGAGCTTTGAGGGAAATAATCCACTTTCTATTATGTGGATTATTATGGCTCCTTCTTGATTCAGGATTCATAATAACATATTTCTTAGGTCACAAAAATACAGCAAAAATGCACTAAATTTTCACAGTTGGAAACCTTCAGCAGGAATTGATGTAATTTACACATTTTGGGAGAATAAACTGGAATGTTTGGGAGTACCGTCAGAAAAAAATCTAAGACTCTTGAGGAAAGGGATTTGAAGGATGCTGACAGGGTCCTGGAAGCATCCTTCTGGGCTAAAATACAGAAGTTTGGCTTTAAAAGTTTGAATGAGAATGATTTTTTTTTTCCTTTATATGTTGACTGGATTGGGTCTTGACAGCAATATTTTACTCAACAATATTGTTGAATGAAAAGCTGAAAGCACATGAACAGGGAGATTAAAAGATGAGCTGTGATTAATTAATTACGATGCTTCTAATTAATCAGATTAAATTGTTTCATTCCATCACTTAATTACTTCAAGTGTTCAGTCAATTATGCAGGAAATCCCATAATTCAATTGAACAGTTGCCAGTTTCAAAAATCTAACTTTTGAGGGGAGTTTTCTGGGAAATGGCTGACCTTTTGTAAACCTACAGACCAAGACCAGGGGACAGAGATTTTAGTTTTGTGGCCATCTGTGATCCAGTACTAAGAAACTGCATGCAATGCATAACAAAGTTTAACAGGCCAATAGAAATGTATGATTCTCCTACATTTCATATTTAGTTGCTAGCAGAATAGAGTTAGAGCTTCAAAGAGTTGTAGCCAGCCAACTGCTGCAGACCCTTTCCCAGCATCTGTTTACCGTGCTGTTTTGTGCTGCTGCAGCCTCAGATGTGATGACGGCCACCTGCAGCGTGGAGGAGTTCCAGTGTGCATATGGCCGCTGTATCCTGGATATCTACCACTGCGACGGAGATGATGACTGTGGAGACTGGTCAGACGAGTCGGACTGCTGTGAGTTCACAGTCACTGAGATTCATAAACACGTCCAGTATTAGGTCTTTGGATTTGACTAATGTATAACAACACATATTTGATTTGGGCACATTTGATTTACTTTAGACTAATATGTAAGGCTAACTCTAGTTTTTTTCTTAATCTTAACTTTAGTGAGGGGCGGATTGTAAATAGACCGGTAAAACAAAAGATTTACTTTTGAGCTCAGCAAAAGTTTTTAAAGAGACATAATTTAACATCATTCTCAAAATGTTAAATTATTGGCAATTAAGTAATTTTTTTTTAATATACAGCATTTTCATAACAATAGAAGTTAACATAGTTACTTAATTGTGATAAAATGACACTGCGTCCCCAAAAACATACATAGTACTACCATATTTGCATTGGGTGTCTGAAATAATTCAACAAAATATAATATTTGTGAATCTCAATAATGCTAATATGTACAGAAGAATTTATTGAAGTTGACTCAATGTGTTTGTGATTAAACAACAATTTACCAGGCTTGATGATGGCCGTTTTGAACACTTAGAGGTCTGCACACTTAGAGCAGATTTGAATTAAATCAACTTAACCCAAATGATCCTGGACTCTTGGTATCATCAGATGTCAAGAGGGTCTTTGACGACTTTGGAGAAAATAGGAAGGATTTCACACTTCTTTTGATAGCTGCATAAGCGTTGTTCTAACACAGGGGGTGAACAAGTGGATTCAAGGGCCAATAACAGCTACTTCAAAACTTCTAGGTCCTCAGGTTTTTATTGGGGGTTATTCAGGGCCCTGTCGGGGTCAGAACCAGCTTGACATACACTATTGTAAAGTGCAGTGTGCGGTGGCCTTCTGCAAAATATCAGAGCTGGATGAAAGATCAGCAGTGCATGTCCTGATGTGGTATTTTCCACAAACCTGGCCCTTAAGGCGCACCATTGTGCTTGTTTGATGTTTCTTTGCTCCAAATCATGTGATTTAAAGGAACAGAATTACCTTGCCAGCTTCTTCTGTGGTTATGTAGAGGCCTGTCATTTAAAAATCCACTGAAATCAGATTTCTTAGAGGAAACTTCATAATAAACGTGTATTGAAACACCAAAATTTGATCTCTAGTTTTCTGATCTATAAGTAAATAGTGATTTTGTTTTTTTATAGTAAGACGGTCATGTCATGTTCTTCAAGATTCTGTTGTCTCCTGTAGGTTGTTGATCTGATTTGATTATTTTCTGCTGCAGTGCGCCAGTTGCTCACAGTCCCACTCTCAAAATAAAAAAAAAAACAGCTGCTGCCTCTGGGTGCTATATCTCTTTAATAAAGACGAAACGCAACATTCCACGTTATTTATTTATGCACTGTTATTTCAATCAGCAGGAAGCCTGTTCCAAATGCAGGGACGGGACAAGAACAAGGTCCAAGGGACTCTATGAAACCCCAAACTAATAACATCCCAATAACTCACAAAGGACCATATTAAGTGTTGTGCGTAAAGTGGTTCAGTGGCACTTATTTGGTTGCAATAATTATTAGCCTGCATTGGCATGAAGAGACTCCTCTTAAGGGAAGGACTTTGAAGTTTGAGTTAAAGCATAGCAGAGAGACAGAAAGATGATGAGCTGCATTTGTTCAAAGTCCGCTCTTTAGTTGAGATTTCCAAAATCTGCTTTAAAACATCTGCCAACTGCTACTGCTTTTTTGCATCTTGACACATACTGAAGCATATCAATTCTTGTGACTTAAAAGTAAGAACACATGTTCGCAATGCAGCTTGTGTTGTCAGCTAATAAAGCTTCTAAGTTGTCAGTCATAGTCAGTTTATTCTCCTTCCTACAGAGAGAAAAAAAAATCCTCCTATGGAAATTTCTGTTGCTCTCTGTCCTTGATCTTCCATGTGTGATATTCTATGCTCCTCATTCACTCTGTTTCATGTTGCTCCACCTTATCTCATGCATACACACACTCAAACACAGGCGGTTCCAGGCCTTTGATGAGTTTATCATCAGCATGATAACCACAGGTTCAAGGTTTCTCACTGCTATTTGATCACTCATCACTAGATATACCTAAGTGAGCCAGAAATCCCTGGATCAGCTCAGACTGTTGATCGGCAGGTCAAGCATGTGAAAATCTCCACATCTCCACATTGAACTCCACAGAGTTCAATGCCACAAAAATGTCATATTTCAAACGCTGAAAAGATGTCAATTTGGTGTATTGCATCTTTTAAAGACACAGTTATGGAGCATTTTGATCTTTGAGAAAAATTTTTATACAAAAGGTCTGTAATGACACATAATCCAGAAGGAAATTCTGAAGTTTACAGCAATGTAAAAGAAATACAAACATTTCAAATTTTCAAATAACATTTCAGCATCCTGCTCACAGATTGTAGGTCCTGACAATCGCTCTGACCTCTCTCTAGTTTGCTGCTGTCCTTCACTCTCAATCTGCCCACTTTATTTTTGTTACATTTATTTTTGGCCCATATTCGTCCATGTGAGGAGGACATGAGTGTGGGGGGTGGAGGGATTCCAGTGAATTCTGTTTCATATTTTGTGGACACACTCCCTCTCTTTCACACACTGACACCCTCAGAGGAGGCATTCCTCAGAGGCATAAGACTGCCCATCCTCAGACAGCATTCCTTGGCATCCACTCTCCAGACACATGAAGGGTGCTTTGTTAGAGGAGAAGTCTCTCTCTCTCCTGCTTGCTCTCCTTCCCTCCCTCTCCTCTTCTTTTGGCTCTTGTGAATCTTCACACACACACACACACATGCGCACGCCCATGCATATACACACATCAATATTCTCAAAAATACCCCAACTTGCATGCATCATTACCACATGGGGACAGCTTTTGGCTTCATCGCTGAGCACATGAACTTGGAATTGTTTGCGAGTTTTGTTTGTCGGTGAGGGAGAAAGTTGCGGATGAATCTTTGGGCGTACGAGTGGGCGTGCGTGTGTTTCTCCTCGGCATCCCACACTGATTCACTCACTTTTCCATCTCTGTCTCAGTCTGCTGGTTTCTCTGCGGGGAAAACCACCTGCTGTTTTGATCGTCCTTCTCTTCTTCTGCCCAGCCGATAGGCGTGCACATGGAAGCTTCAAGCTCCACATCAGTTCACCTCCCCCCCCACTACCTCTTTTACATTTCCTTGCTTGTCATTTGGTTCCTCTTCCATCGCGCTCTCGCTGACGCTTCGATGGGAGCTCACTCCTGCTGTCAGGAGGAAACATGTCAAAGGCGTACTCACACACACAAGCTCAGGATGAGGATGTAAGATGCTTATGTTTGATTCAGCTTTAATCTTTTCATCCACCTACATCCTTTTTTTGCTGCCATTTTGGGCTTCGCTTTGATCTGATCGCATGTAGTAAGATGGAGAGAGATTTAAAGTTTGAACAGCCACTATCCGCTTTCAGATAATCATGGAAACGGACCGATTAAACAGAAATAATTCATGATGGTAAGGAGGAAGTGTTGCTGGTTTTAGAAACTACTTTTATCTATGAAACTGAAGGATTAAATTTAGAGGCAGCATGAGGATAAGACACCTCGACAAGTCCATTTTTAACAACCTAATTAAAAGGCAACCTCATGGGAAGCCTTTCTGAATCATAATGTACATAAATTATTTTAAGTTATGTACATATGATAATTAATTTGAATGAACCCTGCGACATTTGGACCCTTTTAGGACCTTTTCAGATTTATTCAGCTTAACAAGAAGAAAACGCACAAACAAGCCCAACCATAATGAAAAGCTGCTGAGTTAGTAAAAAGTTATCCAAAGTTAAATTTAGTATTTTCATTCATTTTTTGAAAATGTTTGCTTAAGCCTCTGATTACTAATAACCTCGGCAGTTTTGCATTTGAAATACTTTAATTCAACCAAGAAGTTTTTCTTCTTGGAAATGAGATGGGCATCTCTGTAAATGAAATATATTGTTGATGATCAGATTGGATTTTCCACTAATATTTTGATACATTTTTTTCTGGGTGAGCTTCATGTCTTTGACCATTATCTTTAGCTCCCTTCCCAGATTATTTATTGAATTCCAGTCTGGACTTTGACTAGGTCACTTCAATATATCTATTACTTACAGTGGAAAGAAATTGTCAATACACATGATACACATGGTTTTAAATTAATTTCGTGAAACAAGCAGGGAAATTATTGTATAAACAAAATCATTTTCAAAAATCACTTTTTATTGTACATCGTTTAAGTTTGTCGAACTATTAGAGAAGAAAGTCTTGAAACTTGTCTCATCTCTAGTTCTTAAGCCTGTTACTTTTCTTTGTGCACCCTCCTTTAAGCAGCACAACAGTACTTTATTTTCTTCAACTTATTATGAGTTTCTAACACATGGTCAGCAAGATCTTTGTGAATTGCTCCGTTTAGCTCCAAGTCTATTTTTTTCTCTCATCTAACTGCTTTTTTTATGTGTAGGTCCTGAGATGGTTGCATAAGGTCAACTTTTTGCTCAGTGCAGTGCATCTGTGTGGATTGGGTCTTTTATTTTGGATCATCATTGTACAGAAAAAGCAAATGATTTTCAGTTTTCTGTCGGCCGTTATTAGATTTCTTGATGCCATGTTCTCTAATAAGGTTCCAATTATGCTAAATGTTCAGAATATTGAACATTTAGCATCGTAAAAGTCTGAGAATAACAAGAGTCTAAAAAAACATTATAATATTTAATCTTAATCTATATAACCTGAATATTATGTATTTTCAGGACTTGCTCTTACCGCTAAAATCTCTGTTTGTATCTGTACAGCTTCCCATCAACCCTGCAGATCAGTTGAATTCATGTGCAGTAGCGGCATGTGCATCAACTCTGGCTGGAGATGTGATGGCGAATATGACTGTGACGATCAGTCGGACGAAAAGAACTGCAGTAAGTATCCGCCTGTCCTAAAAATCGTCGCTAAGTTCTGTTAGGAATGCTCCACAAACATTTTGTTTATTTATTTTTTCCTGTAGCTTCGTCAATGTGTACGGCTGACCAGTTCCGGTGTGGAACTGGACGTTGTGTGCGGTTGTCATGGAGATGTGACGGTGAGGATGACTGCACGGATCGGAGTGATGAAGAGGGGTGTGAGAAAACTGGTAAGACTTGTAGTTATCTTGTTTTAGAGGCTAAATATAACCTTCACTTTAAAATGTAGTCATGACAACGGCTGTGAAGAGTCATCCTGTACTGAGAAAATCCCTGTTTTTATTTTTTATTTTTCCTTTTGGATGAGAAATGCAGTTGTTTCTAGAAAACAGTCTTATTGTTTTGACTTCATGTTGATGTGAGATGAACACTATGTTCCTTGAGACGCTCTGAACAATTTACAAGTATTGTGAAAAAAACACAAAAAAACTTTCTCACTCTTAGAAACTGTCTTTATTAAAAAAGTAAATAAAAATTGTAAACCAGGACACCAGATCTGGTTTACTATCCTGCAGCTTTTACATGCATACCCAACACACCTGAAGGATCTGAATGGGCTCTGCTGGGCTAAATGACATCCTGATGGGGGAATCGGGTAATTTGATTATGGGATATTGAAGAACAGACGTATTTGAAAAGTTCTTTTTCACACTGTAGTTGTGCCACCCTCTTTGAAACATTTACACTGTAGAGCAAATAACAAAATTAAGTAAGATCTCCATATTTTAAATAAACTATAAACAATAGATGTCTAGTAAAACCAGACAATGACTTGTGTCGTATGGTCTGTATTTTCACACCTCCTTGCAGACAGTCCTCCATGTGCTCCTGATCAGTTCCAGTGTGGGAATGGCCGTTGCATCGGACAGAGAAAAGTGTGTAACGAGGTCAACGACTGCGGTGATGGGACAGATGAACACCCACACCATGACTGCAGTAAGTGTTTGAAGAAAATCAGCACCTTTTATTGCAATTAGTCATGAATTCACCACATTAGGGAGAGTACTTACTCCATGATTGCTTAGTCACTTCAGTTTACATAATGATCAGAGTTTCCTATGAAAATGTTTTCCTTTTAAACTGGAAAGTTTTCCCTCTGCCCTGTCCTTTGTTCTGTTTTGAAACCTTCTTCTCAAATAAACAAAAGGCCCTATCCACACCGCATCAATACTTCAATACTCTAGCACTGTTTGAGCGTTAGTACGCTTTTTTCTTCATAGCTATATCACATCAAAATGCTAGAAGATTTTTGTCTGCTCTCGATGGTTTGCTCATGTGAAATTTTCTTGAAGATATTGGACACCTGTGTGATAAGTTTAAGCGTTTAGTTTAGAGAAAGAAACATCATTTGGTTTTTTTCTTAGCTATGAGCTGTCAAGCAACAATAGCTGTCTCACCGCCTACCTAGAGCCTCTTTGAAACCAGTCATGATCTACCTGATTTTAGTTTCATGATCCAATTTTCCAATCAGTCTGGAGTTGGCCTAAGACCAGAAGTCAGTTGGTATTTTTGCAAATATTTTGCCACTGAACCAACTCAGATCTTAAAAGCCTCAAACAGATGCTCTAATGTTCACCAAAACTCCCAACAAGTCAAGCAAAGGTGAGATTTAGACTCTCGCAATGAAAGAAAGGTCATGGTGTCAGCAGAGTCCTTCATGGAACAACTATATGTGGCTAAATATATTTCTGAAGGGGCAAGTTCTGTTTGTGTTGATAAAGTTCAGTATCCTCAAGCCTCACTCCTAAAAATATTTCCAAGTCCAACATCAAATGTGCCAGATGCTTTTCACATTTTTTACTGAATCAGCAAGCTGTGTTTATGTCCTTGTAATCTTTCTGCACTTCCTGTAGGGCCACGCTCCAGTGAGGGCAACTGTAACCAGAATAATGGAGGCTGCTTACAGAAGTGTCAGATGGTCAGAGGCCTGGTCCAGTGCACCTGTCACAACGGATACCGACTGACCGACGACAACAAATCCTGCCAGGGTAATGCTGTCTTTGTGTGTGTATGTGGGGTGGATTACAATGTGACAGAGTTTGCTGATGAAAGTGAGTGAGCAAGAATGTTAATATTTATGACAACTTGCCAAGTGCTATGTGTTGTCTTCACTGACTTCCTGGGGGTGACATCAATCCAACATTATTCTGCATGAAGTGCCGCTCTTACCTCCCACTTATGAAATCTTCAAGAGTCTTGGGAAAGTCCAGAAGCATAATTGATAAGTAACTGTCTGAAAATGTCATTTTTTTCAAATCAGAAGGAATATATACAATACCATGCTGACTGGGCTATGTTAGCTGTTTGTACACCAGGCATTGTAACTGAATCTGGTCTGGTTGAAAAAACAGTAGTTGTATATTTAGAACCGAATTACTGAAATGAACAATGTTATTGTGACTGAACTCAAAACCTTTGGCCAATGTTGTCAAAATGCAGAGTACGGAATGTTTTAGGTGTTTCGGCAGCTGCGTTTCCATTGACCGTATAATAGAGCAATTTGACTTTTCAAAAATAAATTCCCTTAATTGAAAAATGGACATTTCGGAAATCTCTTGTTTTTTGATAAAATGTTTTAGCGCCAAGATGATTTGGTGTTTTGGCTGTATTGAAATTTGTCTATTTCACAAAACTGCAATGGAAGCACTTTTTGTGCATCACACGGGTCACATGATCAACAACAAGATGTTGCTGCTGCCAGAAAAGACGCAGAAGACAACAACAGGAAGTACTTGGAGTATAACGGCACATAATGTTAATGATTTATCATGTGAACAAACTTATTCAAGTGTGACCTTACATTTCTTTTTTAATGGAAACACTGCAATTGCAAAATTGTGTTTTTTCATCATTAGCAGAATGTTAAAGTTTTTTACACATTTGGAATGGAAATGCAGCTACTGATTCAAAATAACCTGAATGAAATTAAGCCACTAGCAAGAGCATGTCATGCAATGGGACATTCACATCATGTAAGCGCAGTCTGGGAAATGTCCAGCAACTGTAAGATCTGGTCATATTAATCTGTCATTTTCTTATCATGGAGTTTTTCAAAAGTAGAAACTTTTACTTAAGTCAAAAGATTAGGTGCTTGAAATAAATTAATTCCAACTCCAGCTCAATTATTCTAAAACTGTTTGATTATTTTGTTCCTTGAACTCCTTTCTGGCAATTTGTCCCTTCCATTTATTTTTAACTCTAAAGGAAATTATTGCTACAGTCAATATTTCCTTCTGTGGTTTTTTCCAGATGTGGATGAGTGTGCGGAAGAGGGTTACTGTAGCCAGGGCTGTACCAACACGGAGGGGAGTTTCCTGTGCCGCTGTGTCCACGGCTACGAGCTTCGGCCTGATAAGCGCAGCTGCAAAGCTCTGGGTAAAAATCACTACTTGACTTTTCTTCCCTGAGATATCACTGGAGACTCCTCAAGGCTTGACCTCCAATAAAAGTTTGGTTGCACAGTGGTTCCACTTTTCTTAAGTTGTAACTTTATCCACTCAGCTGCTCTGGGGGCTCCGTTTCATTCTGAGGCTTTTGAGGTAGATTTAGCCGAGCTCCAGAGGTAGAGTGCAGGTCTGGTGCAGCAAGCCATCAATCTGCTGCAGATCAGAGTTAAACCTGGGTCAGGAGCGCCTGCCAGGCAGCTGCCACAACTCATACCCTCAGCTCAGCTGAAGTTATTGCCTGCTGTTTTTGAAAGCATCCTTTGCTCCTATCTAAGTGTTTTATTCTCTTTTGCCTATAAACTTTTCTTTAGGTCCAGAGCCAGTGCTGTTGTTTGCAAACCGCATCGACATCCGACAAGTTTTGCCACACCGCTCAGAATACACCCTCCTGCTCAACAACCTGGAAAACGCCATCGCGCTGGACTTCCATCACAGCCGAGAGCTCGTCTTCTGGTCGGACGTGACGCTTGACCGCATCATGAAGGCCAACCTCAACGGTTCTAACGTGGAGGAGGTCATCTCCACCGGTCTGGAGAGCCCAGGTGGGTGTGGTAACTAATGGGTTCAGCTTAGGGACAGCAGCATCATTCATCATTTATCCAATTCATTCAACTCTGCTTCTCTCTGTCTTTCCTTCCATCCATCACCTGATTCATTTTGGAGCTGAGCCAAATAAACTTGAGCTTTTTCCTTTATTCTACATCAGGCCTCATTATGATTCTTTAGTACAGTCACATTTCTTTGTATCAATCTCTGATGCCATCTTCTACTTTCCCCCGTAGGAACTGAACTTTTTAATAAAAAATGTTATCATATATGATTGCAATTTAATATTATGTTTCAATAATAAGGAATAAGACAGTCTGTTTCAACAAAGTCATAATGAGGGCTGGACAATAAATCAACAATGATATATATCACCATAGACACGTGATTAATATCAACAAACGATATGCCTGATACAGTAGTCAATATTCAATAGATAGAATATTCTTTTTTTTTTTTATTAGATTTAATTTATTGGGGACAATGCACATTAATGAACAATCAATACTTCTGTACAGACTGTAAATGAGTCAGATTATAGGATAATTGCTAATTTCCATCTGTTCAATGAACTCCAATACAGAAGCACACAGCATTCTGGGAGATGAACAAGCTTTTGCTGCTCAACCTCTCATGGTGAGCTAAGCACGCGCTCTTTGGTCACCTAGCAACTCACTCACTCTTTAGTTACCTAGCAACAACCTGTTGAATTACTTGCACAACAGCAGTTTCGGGTTTCGCCACCGTGCCTCATAACTGCTTACAAATAAAAAACAGGGTGGAGTGAAAACTGTGGATAAGACAGGAAAGGTCGCATGACATGGCAGACTTCAGATATTTAAAACACAAAAATAAACAATAAAGATAGACGGTTGCCGATACCTACTAAAATGTAGAGCTTATATCATAAGTTTCTATGATATAAAAGCTATTGTCCAGTCCTCGTCATACTAATGCAGTTGGTAAAAATACTAATTCTATTTGTTCAGCTACCAATAACATTAACTACATGCTCAATGAAAAAGAGGCCTGTAATTTTAATTTACATTTTAGATTTGTGTTTTATTCACAGGATATGTGGTTGCCAACAGATTCTGAGTCATTTTAATTGGGTAAAAAAACTTGTTTCCTTCTGCTCCAGGGGGATTGGCTATAGACTGGATCCACGATAAGCTTTACTGGACAGACTCCGGGACGTCCCGCATTGAAGTGGCCAATCTGGACGGGACGCACCGGAAAGTGTTGCTGTGGCAGAATATGGAGAAGCCCAGAGCCATTGCATTGCACCCCATCGAGGGGTACGCGTCGACATCCACACACACTTCATAATTCCCCCCAGATGCTTTCAAATCCACACACATTCATATATGCATATCCCCTCTGGACATGTCCCAGTTGTAGTGCAGCAGCAGCAGAGCAGCGATTAAAGTCTGGCAGCACGGCATTACCCACAGGCGAGCATCTGGGTGGAACAAGTATTTCACAAAAGGAGCAGCAGCTAGCTGTGTCCTCCTGCCTGGTTTTATGTTGTGCGGTGGCAGGAGAAAGTTTCCTAACAGGCCCCAGTGAAATTTAAAAGTGGAAAACTCGTGCAGCATATTAGAGAGCTCATTAGCATGGGATAATTAACAAATGAGGGAGGGGGGAGTTTCTTAGGTTACACATAACAGATGAGTGACGATAACAAGGATGTAAATGTTGGAGGCAAAGAAAGCTTGTTTTGGTAAATCAAGACATCTGCTGCATCTGAAATCCTGACAACAATCTGTTGTGTGCCAGCTTCAGTTGTACAAGCACGAAACTCACCACGAATGTCCCATTTTTCCCTTCAGTAAGATTTACTGGACGGACTGGGGGAACACGCCACGCATCGAGTACGCCAACATGGACGGCTCGAACCGCAGGGTCATCGCAGACACACACCTGTTCTGGCCCAACGGCCTCACCATTGACTACGCCAGCCGCCGCATATATTGGGTGGACGCCAAGCATCACGTCATCGAGAGAGCAGACCTGGATGGACGCAACCGCAAGGCCGTCATCAGCCAAGGTAAACCGAGCCGCCGTTTGTTTTTTCAGGCTTCGGATGATGTAAGGACGAGTTCAGATCCAGAGAGAAAAGTAGAATACTGGCATTTATTTATGAGACTGAAGGAGACGTTGAATGCTTTTTTTCTTCCACCTTCTTGATGACAACATATTTTTATGGCTGACTATACCTGATTCATAAAACCCCCTGTAATATTACAGCACAGGTTGTGTGCAGTTTCTATGATTTGAAGATGGTGACACACTTGCTAAAGATATATAACATAAATTGTTTTTATTTCAGTAGTAAAGTAGAAAAGAGTGAATAAACCTTTAGTTTTTGTACATTTTACAGAGTGGGAAGAAATCACCAATTAAAACAAGGTCTTACAAAATCACCTGTACCACAATTATTGGCACATTTAGTATTTTTAAACATTTATCTGAGTTTCTAGAATCTTCCAAGTTGTAATTTTTTTCATTTTTGCTTCCTAGACATATAAATATAATGCGACTGATTCTCGTAGCCACTCTTCAAAATGGGAAAAAAGAGAACCTCTCATTCAAGAAAGGCAGACGCACATTTATCTTAATGAGTTGAGAATAGTTACTCATCAAAAACATACCCTAATAAGTTTTGAACTACTAAGACGTTAAAAAAAATAAGAATACAGTTTAAAAACTAAAACTACTTTCTGTAAAACCCACTCTGTTGTTGTTCAGCAGAAAACAAGGATATTATTTTTCCTCATTTCTCCATTTCAAGCATAAAGAATTATTCTTCTGTTTCATTACAAAGGCCTAGTGAATATTCAGTGGAAACACATCTATAAATACTTATTATGCTTTTATTTTGAAATTCATTCAAAATAAAAGCAATACAGTAAAAGATTCTACAGAGATCATTTTACTGTCTTTTTGTAGATACCGTTCCCTGTTTCCTGGAAAGATTTACCTTTTTACTCCACATTCTTTCAGTTTTTTTTTCCAAGAATCTGAAAAGAGATATATTTATTTAATTTAAATCTGATTACAAGATAGAAAAGAGGTCAGGCCAGAGTTCAGTTTCTCCCTCAATTGTCATAAATTATTTCACTCAGATGCAAGAAAGCACACATACACACATTCACAGATGATGTAGCACTGCTGCACTTCTCCATGTGGAGTTAATTAGTGCCGTATTCCCCTTAAAGAGCATGCATGTGTCCACCAGTGATATGCACAGGCACAGAAAGCATAAATAAGAACAAAGAGCAAAGTGCATGCCTCTGTTCATGTTGCTGCTCCCTGCTGAGAAATGTGCTGATGTACATCAAAGTGCAGATCGGGTTTTTAGAAAGTCACTCACTCTGAGACACACACACACTCATACACCCCCCCCCACACACACACACACACACACACACCCACACACACACACACACACACACACACACACACACACACACACACACACACACACACACACACACACACACACACACTTGAGCCAGAGTTGAAGAAAACAGACATGTTTGTTTCTCAGGTTTTAATGACAGTAATGGTGGTTCCCCGGTGTGTTTGTGTTCAGTGTTTCTCGGTTGGCAAAGAGGCAACCAGGCAGAACACTCTGATCACAGTAGGTTGTTAGTGAAACCATTGAATTCAACAGTGATGCTGGAACTGGGAGTAATGGCACCGAACTGGATAGCCACTCTTCTTTTCAAGAGAAAAGCACAAAAGAGCTTTTACGTGGAGATCAGATTGGATTTGTCACTTTCTGATACCGTTTCTGTTTATAAATCTTGGAACTGCAGACCGTCGACGCCATGAAACAATCGGAGATTAATGCAGTTTTAATCAGATTCGAATCACATTCTTGACTGTGCTGTTGCGGTGGTTGGACATTGTGTCCCCAGAACAAAGTGGCAGTCCAGCGGTGGGAACTGCTCAAAATTACGGGAGGTAATCTACGTAAGCAGCTCAATTTTTGGACTTCACAGTGGAAACGCACAAAATAAAACGCAGCCTAGGTAGAAGAGATGGTTCCAGGAAATTATGTTCCAGTGAAAAGACAGTCAGGAATCTATATTTGACACACATCATATTGCAATATTTCTGTGGTACTATTGTGGTAAGAATAAAAATTTGTAAAAAGCTATTTATTACTTCTTTTTCAGGCCTGAAAGCATTCATAAAACCACAAACACAAATATTGTTCTTGAAAAACATTCCCACTTGAAATAAGCCCCTTCTGGATGCCATTTTCTTTCAGAAGTGTGATTTATATGACTAACCTGCACACAGTGACTGTATTTAATCATATTTTTGAACTGACTGGCATTGAGTGTGGCTCTTTTGGAACAAATAGTGGAGAAAATAAAAATATTTCTGAATTCTGTCAGTTTTGTTTTTTATGCAACATCATTAAATAAAATATCAATACAACATTAAATCAAAATTCTTATAAAAATTTTTTGTGATAAATGATACAATAAATGCACACTCAACACATAATTTTATCTGTTCCGCATTGGGGAGCTTATATAACTCAGATTTTTAAAATGACCAATCAAGTGGTCAGAACTCAATTTATGCATCTGTACTTTAAGGACTATGAGTGGAGAAATTACACAATTCTTTCCTATTTCTGCTTTGTAAACTCTTACTACCAAAATGTGACTAATTTAAAGCCCAATTTTATTAGTAAAAGTTTATTCTCTCTGAAACAAAATCCATTAGTTGAGCTCCAGAAGGGTTTGTGGGAGACTCGCATGTCGGAACAAGAAAATAACTATCTTGGGTTTTATCAGGAGGAACTCATCCAACAAACAAATTTGATTTTAATGGTGATACAGCTCTGTATAGACACATTTTACAAATCTGTCATGAAATCCATCCAGGCAACATGCGAATGGATCAGTTTGTGAGTTATACTCCTCAAAGGAATTTGAAGTGTGGGCATTAACTTGTATCTGCCAGAATGGCCTAAGGTTTGGAGTGTTTTTCTGATGAAGTGAAAAGATGGTGGAAGGGCATCAGTGATGATCAGGGTGTTAAACAGTGGGAAGGAGGAGGATAGGGGAAATGTTTGATATGTGTGTGTGTGTGCAGGGCATCATTCCTGTGAGCTCTTCTTAATGATGTGTGCTCTGAGGATAAAAGGCTGTAATTGGCCCTGTCCTTCCTCCACAGCTTGTGTTTGCTCAGACAACACACAGGACAAATGGGACGTTTTCTTTTGTGTGTGTGCGCAAGAGGGTGTGTTGCACTCTGAGCTGCTGTGCCCAGGAATGTTAACGAATACTCATCCCCCTCCACCAATAGATCTGCATGTGGGTTTGCGTGTGTGAGCGTGTGTGTGTGAGGAAGGGAGCTGGCTGGATGTGGGCCAGCCCCCTGTGGTGTGTGTCACGGATGGTGGCGCTATCCGGCCTGCACACCTGTTCAGCTGGAGGTGGTGGGACAGGAAGGACAGTCTGATTGTCTCTGCAAGTTTATGGGAGTGTTTATGAATTAATTTAGCTATTTTTGTGCATTGTCATGATCATACAGTAGCTCTGCCAGAGACCAAATACGTCCAGCTGTGGTTTCACAGAACTGTCTCCTGCAGTTTGTCTCCTGGCTGACTGATATAGATTTAGGGAAATATCCATGACTTCTAAATGTTTTCCCTCAAGTCTAAACTTTTATTTCATTTATTTATTATTTTATGAATGCACGATTATAGTTGGCCTGAACAGTTTTTAGTATTTAATTCAGGATTAATGCATGCACATAGCATAAGGTTGTCAGTGTCTAAAATTTAACTATAAAAACCTATTGGAAAAACGGCAGAACAGAACTCATCCCTTAATTATTTCCCAGTTTTTGTTTTCTCAAAATTTCTAGAAGAAAAGATTTTCTTTTATAAAAGTACCCTAGTTTCTCTCTCAATACTGTGGTATTATAAAAGGCTTGTTATGCAAAGCATTTTATCAAGGTTCCTTTGGGCTTTGAATGAATCACAGGCCCACAGCATCATGGATCTACCACCTTATTTAATGTGAGGTTCCAGTGGTAGTTAAGGAATTGCTCATGTTTTTGTTTGTGAAGTTTGGACACATAATGTTCCTAACATGACTGGTCTCACTCCCACTGGTCAGCTGGCGGATATCAAATGGTTTTGGACATGTGGTCACCCAACATGCCTCGTGTACCACAGTTTCATTTCTGGGACACAAAACATGTTGTCTTGTATTGTCATTTTGAAGAGGGAATCAAGATTATTATGTCACATTTATACCATAGAGAAAACTTGGTAATCATGCCATTGATTACCAAGTTTTGCAACACTCAAAAATTTATATAAATTAAAAAATACTATTCACACGTTTGCCAGTAATGTGTAAAAACCTGTTGCAGATGTCACTACTCTCCTTTTGTTACTTTTTCGGTGCCATTTTTGCTTCTTCATCTCCCATTTTGTAAGTAAAATGAGGCTAAAACCAAGACATAGTTTGTTATGACGCACCGGGGAATACGAGCAGAGCAGCAGGCTGTGAATCTCTCTTCTATCAAAATTCCTTTTGATTAAGCTACTTCACATCAGAGAAAACTCATCTCAAAGTGAAATGAAATCCACAAATAAAAAATTCAACAAAGATGACTCCAGCCTTTTCCTATCATCTTTTTGTCCAGCTGGAGGCGACGCTGTGTTGCTGATGAGCTCTTGAAACAAAGTGCGACAGATTTTGTTGGGGCGTTTGAGGACAGGAATGTGCCACATGTAGGTTAAAGGTGACATATCTGTGAAGACTTGCTGGAGCGTTTGATGCCCCCGTCCGCCTGCAGCTGCTCCTCCAGCTGTCCCGGAAAAGCAGGGTGTGAAGAGGATAAGAAAGAAGGTGACCGTGTCAAAACCAGGCGCTATCATAGATGTCGATGACTTAGGAGGAAGTAAGAAGGTGCAAATGTTGTCTCCTTTACGCTGCGATAAGATCAGAAAATACACACGTTTTTACCACAATCGTTCAGACATGCACCTGGATCTGTTTGAGGAGGCTGGGGGGCACTTTTAATTATAAAGACTGTAAAAAGTGAGACCTCAGAAGGACAAGTAATTTGTATTAATTTGTAGCTAAATTACGTACATTCATCTGTATTGTTGGGTAAATAAGTTTGGACCTTGCAAAGCATGCCGACTGAAACAATGAAACTGTTGTTTTGCTGCGTTTACACTTGAGTACACGCAGTCACTCTGGTTCTTGTTGCTCATTATCATTCCAGTCTTCCTCCCACTTTGGCCATTTAGCAATTGACATTTATGTTGTGTCGTAAAACACTGTCATTAAACTAGCCGTGGTGTTTTGAAAAGCTAAGCACCAGCATGCCCGCCTCAATCACTGCAGCCACTCTGTGAAGCAGAAATCACTTTTTCCATCCATTCAGCAATCCCATCCAACTGCTTTTTCAGCTACAGTTCTGCAGAAGGATTAGGATGGAGGAGAAAAAATACATTCAAACCGAACCAGCATAGCACAAGAGACCTCCTCAGTAGTTAACACATTTTCTGGGATACTTCCCTCCTCTGGTCTGTGTTCAGGTGAAAGTCTAGCTCAGACATCTGTATGATTAGAAAATGTGACTGCATATTTTAAGGATCTTCAATTTTAAATTTTTCAAGGGTTCTGAAACAATATTGCAGCCTGCAAAAAGCATTATTTTTATTTATTTTAAAGATTAATTTAGCTGATTCCCAGACAAGTTTATCAGCGTTAATTAAAACTAACAAAATAAGAAAGTGAAATTGAGAAAACTTTTTTAATCTGAAATAAATAAAAATGGTAATTAATCTGAACTAACTGGAACAACATGGAACTATATTGTATGTTTATAAACCTAAATCATACTGAAGTTATACATGATAACCTTCGCTTTTGTGTTTATGCACTTACTCTAGTCTGCAAAATGACAACGGTAAAAGTTGGAAGAAAATACTAGTCAGTTAATTGTTCAATAATAAGTGAATACATTTTCTGCTGAGATGCAACACTTTTACCTTTTTGGATTCTGCACCTAAAAATGAACCAAAGTATAAAAAAAACAAAACTGCTTCTAAACCTAATAAGAGCTAAACTAAAACTGAATAGTTAACTAATATAAACTAGCAAACACACTCTAAGAACTATTTAAAAATAACTGAATTAAACAAACAAAAAATCACAACGAAATAAAACTAGATCAAAAACCTAAAACAATTATAACCCTGTTCCAAACATATGGACTTTGACTAAGCCATTTTTGTGTTTCTGACCATCTTTTCTTCACTTGCTGAGGGGAAAAAAGCATCTCACACATGACTCAACACTTTTTCATAGTGAGGATTGTGTTTTCAAGGTGATGTGGATTGTTACTATTCCACCAAAATTACCAAAATGTTGCATTTTGCCTTATCTGGCATTTCCACATTTCCAGGATTTCTTTCAGCAGTAACTAGTACTTTTCCAAGCAACTATATGTTAAACCAAAATGGAGTTGAAAAACTGGTGGTTTACGTGCCTTAACTAGCATGTAGACCATCATGTGACTGAAATAACCCAACATATTGGCTCACATGGCTAACATGATGGAAACCCTAACAAAATATATGCATGTCTTCAAGGCTGTGATGAAAATCTGGAATTTATTACTGTTGAGATTAAGATCTTCCATCAAAATTTGCACTGGCAGACTTGGAAATGAACTGGCCATTATTTGTCTCATTGTGTTCAGTTTAAGGGTTGCCTTTGATGTTGCAGTCAGATCTTGGACAGATAAATCAGATTATGCAATGCCCTTGGTTTCTGAATTGATTGGCCACAACAAAACCAGCTATTGGCTGGTTTTGTGAGAGGGTAAGTAATTCAAAGCAGTTTGATATACAGACGGCATGACATCAGTCAAAACAACGGCACTGAATAGGGAAATATTAAGTATTTTCATAGAAAGAGCCAATTGTAACATCATTCAGTTTTTGTTGTGTTCTCAGCCAACTCAAGTCATTATTTTTGCTCATTAAGAAGGTGTGAAATTTGACGTCGATCTTTTTGCACATTTGTGAGTAACTTTTCACAAAAAAAAAAAATATTATTATAAAATGAGCTTTGATGGTTGTTGCTTTGTTTATTAGAATTTTTTCACCTAATCTTTCTCTATTCAGGCCTTCCGCATCCATTTGCCATCACAGTTTTTGAGGACAGCCTGTACTGGACTGACTGGCACACCAAGAGCATCAACAGTGCCAACAAGTTCACAGGCAAAAACCAGGAGGTTATCCGCAATAAGCTCCACTTTCCTATGGACATCCATACCCTTCACCCACAAAGGCAGCCTGCAGGTCAGTACACAACTTGAACAGAAGAACATTTGCATGGCATTCTTGTAACAGGTGGCATAGTGAAATACATGGAGGTGAAATTTGTTAATGAAGGTGATGTAAGCATTGATGAAACCTGTTCATTTTAAAGATGAGGGACAGTTTGTGATTTGCACTAATTGCAATCTAAAATGGCATTTCTGAAATGGAAAACAGAAAGAAATTGCCAATACATCCAATTTATCATTTTTTTTTTATTATTATTTTTCAGGCCATCTGTTATGTTCCACAATTCATTGAGGTCAAGTTTTATATATTTGTTAGTTTACAAATTCACAATATGAACAAGCTGTTCCTATTTCTAACAACTTTCAGCTTGAAGGGACGTCATATTTATTAATAAGACTCAAAACTGTTGGTTTTAAGGTACAGATTGCCATATTGAAAACTTGCCAATGGCTAATTAAATTAGCTTCCATATTAACAATTGAGAAATTTGTTAAATGGCTTAGAAATGCAAAGATGGGCACAGAGAAGCCAAGAGTAAAAGTAGAAGAAAACTCTACACTGAATTTTGAATTCCTGAAAATCTATGATTATTCATCTGCTGAGAAGCAACCACACAACAATGGTGTCATGTGAGAGCACCGGGTTAGAGACCTAACAAATGAACACCCTAATACACCCACACATTTAAAATCTCGGTAGCTTTTATCCACAAGTATTACGATCAAACTTTGCAAAATTTGCTCGAATTCTGACTAGCATTATTATTCCATTTGATTTTCCTATGCAGTGAATTTGCGAGTATGACTTTACTGCACATATCTGTGTTTTTATAGTAAAAGTTACACTACATCAACGTAGCAGTCACAACAATATGCTTAAGATACCATCAAGTATGTTTAGTTTCTCTTAGCAACATGACCCGAAAAGACATTTACAGGTTAAGACACAATTTACCCAGATTAAAGTTTATTCTATTTCCAAAACCCAAAAGGAGTTGAATTTCTAGGCTTGTGTGAAACATTCTTTTTTTTTTTTTTTTTGCTAAAGCAATTTAGCACTCCTTATGTGGAATCTTTTAAGATCAGAACTTTGGGCTTTGACGTCAGTTTCTTCGTGGTTTCCCATAAATAACTTCATGAACCAGATGTATGTTTTTTATTTTTTATTTTTTTGCTTGTCTTCTTTTCCTTAATGTTGTCTGGGGGGAAAAAAGTCTCGCCAAAAAAAGTCTCACTAAATGCCTCAGGTAACACAGTGAGCTTTACTACCTTTGCCTTTTAAACGTGTTTTGCTCTATCTGCATTACACTTCTGCGTTGGCGGCGCAATCTTGCCTTGGCGTCATGTTATTCATCAGAGCTATATGTTTAGGAATAATGTTTGGAGAAAGCACTTAGTCGTTTATTCAACAAGAAAATCTGCTGATGCTGACAAAGGTAAAAAGTAAACATCCCTGTAAAAAAAACATTTTATTTTGTGACAATTATATGCTTGTGAGCCACACCCACGATTGTATCAGTGAACTGATGACCCAGTCACATCACTTTCTGTCATAAACATTGCATAGGGTGTTGTCCTTCCATCAAATCCAAAATTCTAGTTGTTGAATAAACCTGGGCAAAACGTGTTCTGAACAGAAAAACTGGGAGGAATCTGTTCTCTTCCCTTGTTCCATTTATCTTTCTTTCATTGATCATCTTTGTTGCAAATGTGTCCAATGTAGCCTTTTCTACGTTGGCAACAAATGGGCAAACCTCCTTTTCATATATTCTCACTAAGAAGTAATTTATTTAGTCAAGAAAACAGTCCTTTCTGTTTGCAGTCAGGGAGTGTTAGCCTCCCAGATGGTAAGGAGACATTGCATCGTCATTGTGCCTTTCTATTTTAGAGAATGAAACGAAAAAAAGATAGAAAAGTGCTTTTTTCCCCCTCTATTACTTTTTCTCTCCAAAAAGCAAAGACTGTGATTTATGTGTCTTCCATACTTTCAAGATGTAAAAGTTTTAATAAAAATGATAATTGGCCTTTTATATCTTTTGACAGTATTTTTCCTTTATTTAAAAACATAAGTTATGATAGAAAAAGTTTTTTCGACATCAGTATTAGTAAGTCACTTGTTGCTTTCTGAAAATGACAATATTAAAATAACATAAGCATCAGCAGTACACGGGTACAATTTTTGTAGATGAGAAAGCTTGCCTTACACAGACAGCAGAATAATCTGCTGCATTAATATTAGATTATGTTGTGATCTAGTGAGCTGTGAAGGTTTTATTAAAATGACAATAAAAGCTTGTATTCTTTGATAGCAAACTGTGTTACACTTGACATGCAGCCAAGAGAAAGTTTTTGTGTTAGTACTGTTAACAGGACTATAACCGTCTGACTCTAAAATGAACTGTGAGTGCCTCTGCAATGCCAGAGGGAGGTCAGGCACTGGTGTTTTTGTTTTAGATGATGTTCTGTCAGTCATCTGAGCTCATGTTGGTGTAAAGCTTAAAGACCAAGTAAAGGGCAGACAATGTAGCGTTCCAGTAAAATCCACACACTTCATTCTCAAAGGACCTGACATTCTAAGTTCTTTGGTTACGATACTTTAGGTGCAACACAAAGAAAGTTTTGCAAAGTATGCTATTTGATTTTTGACTACAAGTTTATTTGTATCAATTAAAGTACAATAGAAAACTGTGAGGACAGAGTCAAAGGCTTGCCTCTGTCAAATTTCACAAAACTGTAACTTGAGCTCTGTGTGACTTCTTGTCCTGAAGGTGGCAGAAACCGCTGTGGATCCAACAATGGAGGTTGCAGCCACCTGTGTCTCCCCAGCAACAAGACCCACACGTGCGCCTGTCCCACTGGCTTCAAAAAAGTGGACGACAACAACTGTGCTGACAGTGAGTCAATTTCCCACTGCAGAGCTTACAATGATAAAAACAATCTTACACTAAAATTGCTGAAAAAAACTAGACTTTAATTTAAATACAGTTAAATAAATAATGGTCATTGTCAATTTAATAGTCATCACAACAGTACAACAAAATATAATTTCAAGTCATATCGCCCACCCTTAGATAATACCATCAGACATGTAAATATGACATAATTCAACAAATATTTATAGAATGTACTTCACATGAGCTTAAATTTTACCAGTAGCTATTTTTGTCACCAAAACTTACATTTATCAAACATAAAACTGATTTATGTTATTGACAGATTTATTATCCAGAAAAAATATAATCCTAAAGAAGGTGACAAATGAAGTGAAATATTTGATTTCGTCTTTTGCAGCCTCTGCTTCTTGACAGTTTTATAATAAAACAGTCCATGCTGGGCAGCTAAATTAGAAGAGGTAATCCTGTAACAGTCACATAATTGGATCAACCCGAGAGCTGAGGTGTGAGCTGCTTCAAGAAATTTAATTTTAGAGGACAAATAAGCATGCAGATAATAAGATCTCTACCTTATTCAATATGTGATAAGCATTTTACATTTCAGTGTAGTGTAATAACTGCTGACCTAAAATAAATCTTACATTTATATATACTTTTAATTAATCTTTTTATTTTTCTATTAGCTAATTTCATAAGTTGAATGAGAAACATCTTATGTCATATTCCTACACAACCCCTAGCTTTTAATGTAGGTCATGCCTCTGTCATTATGTTGTCATTTATTATGCTAATCAGTTTGTTTAGTTAAATATTCCTTTTAAGAGCTGCTAGATGTCTCTGTGGTAATACTGTTGTTGTTGTTATTGTTGACCTCATTGTTAAACCTAGAGGACTGACAGAAGACCTTTGGTCTTTAATCAGGTCTTGACAAGTTCCTGCTTTTTGCCCGAAGGACGGACATCCGACGAATCAGCTTTGATACTGAGGACATGTCCGATGATGTCATCCCGCTGGCCGACGTGCGCAATGCCGTGGCAGTTGACTGGGATGACAAAGATGGCTACATTTACTGGACGGACGTCACCACAGACTCCATTAACAGAGCACTGTGGAATGGTACCAACCAGGAGGTCAGTGACATTTCCAGTCTGACTGAACTCTAAATGTGACATTAAACCAGTGGTTCCCAACCTTTTTAGAACCGCAGACCGGTTGAGATTTGGCGATTTTGCTGCGGCCCGGTTGGTGTTCCCTCTAAAGCTTACCCCCCTTTCTCCCGCTCCCGATTTTTCCTTTACAACAATCTTACACCGTCCTCCAGTGTGTGTTGGAGGAATTGAGCAAATTCAACATCGTCTTGGCCCGATTATCGCAGCCTGTGGGATTTTCCCTGACTGGGAGCGAGAACGCAGCCTGTGCAATGTGACAGGTAGCCAATCAGAAAGCGCGGTGACATAAGAACAGAGGAGAATCCCAAACAGTTGACATGGCAACTGAGAGTCCAGTGGTCATCGGAGGTGATATGTGGAAATGTTTATTACTATACGTAATAAATGTATTAACCAGCCGGTCACCATATTATGCAGAGTGGGCTTGAAATGTGGGAATCACCTACTGGGATAAATCCATTCTCCTGTCTCTTATCTGGGCCTTTTCCCCTTTATAAAAAAACTTTCCAAAGATATCTGATCTGTTTCTTACTCGTTTTGCTGCTTGTCGGCTCAGTGTTGGCGCAGAATACGCAACTGGGAGAATCTAGTTAAAGGATTTTCAAAATAAAATATCCTCCAGGCTCAAATAGAACATAAAATGGAAATATTTAATTATTTCTTGTGTGGCCCGGTATCAATTGGTCCACGGACACGGGGGTTGGGGACCACTGCTTTTAGCAATGCAGTGGTCTCCAACTGCATTGTTGGGGACAATGCAGTTGGATGAATCATCAGAAGATGAGTCTATTACATTTATGCAATACTTCCATCTGCTGGAGGTGTTATGAAATTACATCAAGTGGTTTCATTCATTAGAAGATTAGCTGAATATATTCACAAGATTTTGTGATGTTCACAAGATTTTTGTCTTACCTGAAATAAAATGTATATATTTAATGCTTTTGGATTTTAAATCTGTCGGACAAGAAGAGGGTTACATGCATCTATCTGTGGATCTGTTTGGTCAGCCGTCTTTTTATTTGTTAATTTATTCATACAACCTCCCACCCATCCATTTGGACATCTTAATCTTCATACATGATTATATGTTAATCATCTAGTTATATGTCAGTTTGTTTGTCTTTCATTTTGTTCAGATAGCCAATCAGCAAAAGTTATTAATGAACACTTCAAAAATTAGCTATAAAAGTGAATGCAAATTCTGAAAATGTGTGTCTAGGAAATAATATAGTTTTGATATAAAAATGTGTAGCAACACCCCAAGAGGAACAAAAACAATCTAACTTTAGTTTTCCCTTTTTTCAGGTGGTGGTAGATACAAGCCTGGAAAGCCCTGCAGGTTTGGCAATTGACTGGGTGACCAACAAACTTTATTGGACCGATGCTGGTAAAATGCCTCAATTAGCAGAATATTTCTCACGTAATAATGTAGAATAAGTAGTATGACGGTGCATCACGTGAGAGTATAACTGTTCTACTTTCGATGCCAGGTACGGATCGTATCGAAGTTTCCAATGCAGACGGCAGCATGCGGACTGTGTTGATCTGGGAGAACTTGGACCGACCCAGAGACATTGTGGTCGACCCAACGGGAGGGTAAGAACATTAAACATGTTATAAAATGTTTTATTTTAGCTCAGCTATTACATGCGCATACTGAATGTTTTGTTGTCTGGTTAGTTTCATGTACTGGACCGACTGGGGAGCCAACCCAAAGATTGAGCGTGCAGGAATGGACGCCTCCAATCGGATTGTCATAATCTCGTCCAATCTGACATGGCCCAATGGACTCGCCATCGACTATGAGACCAAACGCTTGTATTGGGCCGACGCAGGCATGAAAACTATTGAATATGGCAACTTTGACGGTTCTGACAGACAGGTAACATATGCTTACTTTTCTAGGAAATGGCATCATTGAAAATTGATTTTGGCAGTTTTGGGAAGTTAAATCTCAATATTATGTTTTTAGGTTTTGATAGGCAGTCAGTTGCCTCACCCTTTCGGGCTCACAGTACACAAAGACAAGCTGTACTGGACTGACTGGCTGTCCAAAAGCATCCAGAGTGCTGATAAACTCACTGGCTTGGAGCGCCACACGCTGGCTGAAAATCTGGAAAATCTTATGGATATTCACATGTTCCATCGGCACCGGGAAACCGGTCAGTCTGTGTGTCTGGACATGTAGACAAGTCTTTATGTGATGCCATTTATTATTTTACTTCTGTAATAACTATTGCTTGAAAAGAGTCTAAATTGAAACTGAATTACAGGATTTGTTGGGCATCGAAGCTGCAACTAATGATTAATATTTTTAATGGAATCTGTTAGAATTAGATTTGGATAGTGACATATTTTTTAAAAATGTTTCAATCCTGGTGCAAAATTTTTCATGCAAGTTCTTAAATTAATTTAAATTGCTTGAATTCCTCACTAAATGAAGGATTTTTATTTTTTGCATATTGGCACTTAGCGTTTGTTTTTTAGGGCAAAATTTATTTTTTTAAAGTTTTGTGGCAAATTATTTGGAGGTTCTCAATTCTTTTGTTTTAATAATCTCTCTTGACATTATAACATATTCTATTTTGTTTTTTCGCCTCACTTTGTTTTGATAAAAATTACTCTGGGGTTATCACCACAATTTAATTCTTTTTCTGTTGAGCATACATTACTAGTAGGTCTTTGAGTGATCAGAGCCTGTCTGTGTGTCTTTGTGTAGTGAATAATCCGTGTGCAGTGAATAATGGAGGATGCAGCCACCTCTGTCTCCTGGCGCCTGCTCCCAAAGCTTCCAGCTGCTCCTGTCCCACAGGGATCAATCTGCAGAGTGACGGGAAGACCTGCACACCTGGTACAGAAAACCTTCTGGTTACATTCTAAAAATATTTAAACGGGATGTAACAAGAGAATTTCCAGTTGCATATTCACGAAGAAATAATAAATATTCAAAAAATAGGTGCAGGTATTGCATTAAAATATGTCTGTTCATTTTTTTTTTTTTCAATATGTTTATACCAAAAAGGAGCTCGATGAAACTAAAGCACGAGACTGAAGACTTTTGTCATTCAGTCTTTGTTTTTCTAGTGGTTCTCTCTTTATACCAATGATGCAAATGGAAACTATCAAGCTCCTTTTAATTTATCATGTGATTAATTGATTGATTGCAACATAAAAATACTGTTTCATAAATAAATAAGATTGCAAAGTATATTTGTAAAAAGAAAGCAAGTAAAAACAACAAAATGTCTAATAAGTGTATTTTTTTTTCCAGAATTTATGACTAAATTTTTTTTTCCTGTTTTTATAACAAAACTGTTGATGCATGTGTGTACAGGCATGAGTAGTTTCCTTATCTTTGCCCGGCGGACAGACATCAGGATGGTTTCTCTTGACATTCCATATTTTGCTGATGTGGTTCTGGCTGTCAACAGCTCAATGAAAAACACTATTGCTATTGGTGTTGACCCCAAAGAAGGTTTGTATGCCCTCCGATGTTTTCTAAATACCAAACTATCAGACTAAGTGGTGCAGATATGTGAGGTTTTTATGTGTTGTCTGTCGCAGGTAAAGTCTACTGGTCTGATAGCACACTAAAGAAAATCAGCAGAGCCAACATTAATGGAACAGCCCATGAAGACATCATATCTACGGGTATGCAGACAGCACACATTACAGTGTCACTCCACTCCGTTTTGTTGTGGCTACTGCACCTTTGTCTCTTCGCAGGCTTGATGACAACAGATGGACTGGCGTTGGATGCTGTTGGCAGGAAAATTTACTGGACCGACACTGGAATCAACCGTATTGAAGTAGCCAACCTGGATGGCTCAATGAGAAAAGTTCTTGTGTGGCAGAACCTTGACAGTCCCCGAGCCATAGCTCTTTACCACGAGATGGGGTGGGACAGCTAGATTGTTCTGCACTTGCTGTTGGAATCTGTTCACTTTTCATTTTTTCTTACCTACCTACCTTGTTTTTTCTTTGCTGCTTGGTTTCCAGTTACATGTACTGGACGGACTGGGGAGAGCATGCCAAGCTAGAGCGCTCAGCTATGGATGGGTCGGACCGTGTGGTCCTCATAAGTAACAACCTGGGCTGGCCTAATGGTCTGGCTGTGGACACAGCTGGATCCCAGTTACTGTGGGCCGACGCTCACACTGAGGTCAGTGCTAACTGCATTGATCTTTTCTGTATAAATCATACATTTTAATGGTTTTGCCACACAGGTCACATTTTTGATGTCTTAAAATGAAAACAATGATATCATAATGGTAATCCGTCATCTCACTGTAGCGCATTGAGGCAGCTGACCTGAATGGGCAAAATCGACGCACCCTTGTGACTCCCGTCCAACACCCCTATGGTTTGACCCTTCTGGGCTCTCATATATACTGGACGGACTGGCAGAGCCGCAGCATCCAGCGAGCCGACAAGAACACCGGGGCCAACACCATTACTGTGAGAGCAAATCTGCCTGGCCTGATGGACATTCAAGCTGTGGACAGAGACAGACCTCTTGGTAAGACTGAGGATGAGATGTGGATTAATTTCCTATTTTTAGAAGAGTTTGTGTATTTTTGCTCATGTGACCAACAATTACTCATTCATCTATTTATCGATCATCCAACTAAAACAGCAACTAACTATTTTGACCAGTAATCATATAAGATTTCTGCAGATTTTTAATCACTTAAAATGTTTTATGCAATATTAGAAATGCATTAAAATATGCAAATAAATATTTATAATAAATAGTTCATTGACTAAACTGCACCAATATAGATTTTCTTCCGTCTTTTATTATAAATGCAAAATCTTTCAGCAAATAACCTTTTTGAGTCCGTATACTCAACAAATAATCAATCTCTAAATTAGTTGACAACATTTTCAGCAATCGATTCATCACAACCAGTACGATTAATTGTTTCAGCTACATCCATCCTTCATTTTGTATGGCCTACGGTTTCTGACTCAAGTTGTTTAAAACCTCTCCTTAAGAAAAGCTCTGCACACATTCATCGTGAATTTTGTACCTGAACTTTCACAATGGTCCAAAAAATTTACTTATTTCTGTCTGGAAACGTTTGGAATTTGCATAAGTAAATTAGTAGGAAACTGAAATAATAACATGCAAGCATGCATGTTATGTTGTATATCTGATTCATTATATCTTTGTTTTTTCCTCAATCCTTCTGTCTTTGGCCTTTTTTTTTTTTTAGGTTTTAATAAATGCGCACGAAGGAATGGAGGGTGCACACATCTCTGCCTCCCTCGTCCTAACGGCACTTCCTGTGCATGCCCTACTGGCATTCAGCTTAAGGGAGACGGCAGGTCTTGTGAAGACTCCCCAGAGACATACCTGCTCTTCTCCAACCGTGTCAGCGTGCGCAGAATCTCCTTGGACACCAGTGACCACACTGATGTGCACGTTTCAGTTCCTGAGCTGCACAATGTCATCTCACTGGACTATGACAGCGTTGATGGAAAGCTCTACTACACAGATGTAACTCTGGATGTTATCAGGTGAAAAATGCACTTAATTTTGTTTGGAAAAAAAATCATTACATCTCACTTTAAATTTAAATTTCATGACTTTTCTGCTCATTTAACAACAAACTGAAAACTAAACAGAGAAGTGAGCCATGTTGCTGTTGCTTAATGAGATTTATTCACTCATTACTGTTGTCTGGCAATAACTTTGTTTTGTTCTATAGGAGGGCTAATCTGGATGGCAGTGGCATGGAAACAGTAATCAGCCAGGGCCTGAAAACCACAGATGGACTGGCTGTGGACTGGGTGGCCAGAAACATGTACTGGACTGATACCGGGCGGAACACCATTGAAGTGGCCCGCCTGGATGGGACGTGCCGCAAAGTCCTGGTGAACAACAGTTTGGATGAACCACGAGCCATTGCAGTGTTCCCTAGCAAAGGGTGAGAGTGGAGACTTACATATGCTTCCTTTTCAAATTAAAAGCTAGCTTTCACCTGTTAGCCATGACTATGCTTTTGATATTAAACTGCTTTTATTCATTTATAACAGTGCCATAATGCACTTCTTGCCTGTCCCCAACGTTGCTACTTTTTTATGTGATCCCATCACATGTTTTGATGCCATACGATGATACCAATTTTTAGAAATTATGCTTAAGCTTTGCTACAAGTTTTATTTAGAAATGTATGACGGCATGAATGTCGCAACTTAGACACATATTTAGTCAGACCAAATGCTATAAAAATGTCTCAACAATAATGTAGTAATAACTTTATTTTTTATTTTATACCATACTATCCTGACATACTTCCTTGACTGATGAAGGTTCACTCACCTCAATGGGCCAAATGTCTGACATAGCAGCTGAGTTGGACTATTTTTTTAGATTCAGTTGTAGCAAATAATTTGGCCAGAAGGGGGCAGTCACTGACTGTTTAAGAGCATTGAATTTGCATTCAGGTGATGATTGTGAGTAAGCAAACAAAATGGTCACACCACAGCAAAAAAAATAATAACTTACTTTGACCTCGTGCAGTAGCACACTGTAAAATTTTCTGTCCTTCATCTCAACTTTAAATTGTTGCAGGTCATTGTAGTCTTCAAGGTGGAAATGAATAGCTGCCTCATTGTTCATGCTGAACTACAGAAGACAAAAAATACAAACAAATGACAAGAATAGCAGCGTAATATTTCTACTGTTTTTTTTTTTTTTTTTGTTGTTGTTAATATAACCTTATGACAATTTAGGTTTTAATAAATGCGTTCCCAAGAAGATTCACTGAATTTGTTGAGCTCTGTAATCCATCACCATTTTCTTCATGTTCCAGTCTGACATTAGGTCACTCATACCTTGTGTCTGCAGGTTTCTCTTCTGGACAGATTGGGGTCACATTGCGAAGATTGAGCGATCCCATCTTGATGGCTCTGATCGAAAAGTTCTAATCAACACGGATCTGGGATGGCCCAACGGTCTTACTCTAGACTACGACACAAGAAGGTTTGAAACAAACAGCAGAAATACTTTGATTTCATTGACGTTGTGATTCGATAAGGTTTTAGTTTACTTGATTTGATTAGAGACTAAATCTCAGCCAACTGGAAAGGACACTTATTACTGTGCAAATGAAACTGAAAACACAAGCATTACAGATTCACCTGTTAACTTATTGTGCTGCTGCAAATAGTTTTGTCAATTGAATAGACACATTGCATTGATCAGCATATCAAATTTATTTATTTAACTAGCCACTGACAGGCTAGTTAAATAACACTAATTACCTCTTCATCATTGCTCCTTTTAGACAGTAGGATATGGGAGGGAGAAAGTGAAGATTGTTCATTGCTCTGGTGTTTGAGCTTTGTATGTAGCCTTTTTTATAAAAAAGCCTGCTCGTGATATCAGATTAAATATTAGACCTAATAAATAAAGTCAGAAAACAAAACGCTTGGTTTAGATACTGTTTATAACATTTATAGGGAATGAAAACAGTTGGTGATGCAATGTAACTATGTTTTAGTTTGCTTTTATAGCAGGTATTTGCTTAGATGGCAGAAGTGAACCATGTTGTTCCTAATGGCTCTTTGATTTTCTTCCCAGGATCTACTGGGTGGACGCCCACTTGGACAGGATCGAGAGTTCAGACCTGAACGGAAAGCTGCGTCAGGTCCTCGTTAGTCCCGTGTCGCACCCTTTCGCCCTTACACAGGTAGACGCCTTAACCCTCGTGCCCCCTCAGCTCGGCTGTGAATCACAGGGCTGACTCTCCCTCGTGGCTGCCTCCTCCACTCACTTGCTCTCTTTGACTCATCGGCTCACCGTGTGATTCTTGTTGTCGCCTCTCCGTCCTCATATCGAACTCATTCAACTTAACCATTTCGTCTACTTTCCTTCCACTCATTTTTCTTCCTCCTCTCTCTCTCTCCCCCCCTTTATCTTCCCTTTCTGCCTCTCACCCCCCTCGCTCCTTGTCTGTGTTTTTTCTCCTCTTTTCTTCTCCCCCGTTTCCCCAGTCGAAGCCGGTGTCCTCCCCTCTAACTCCTTTCTCCCGACTCTCGCAGCAAGACCGCTGGATCTACTGGACGGACTGGCAGACTAAGTCCATCCAGCGAGTGGATAAACACACTGGTCGCAATAAGGAAACTGTGCTGGCCAATGTGGAGGGCCTGATGGACATTATAGTGGTATCTCCACACAGACAGACAGGTAAGGCATTTCTCCTGATTCATAGGAAGACACCAAAGCTCGCTTTCCACTCAGTTGGTTTGTTGATAACAGGAATGGAGTGCCATCTACTGGTCAAAAACAATACATCTTTTTTTTTAATAAAGTCCAATCCTCTCATGCCTCTTATTTTCCTTCCTGACCATTAGGTACTAACCTGTGTGGAGTAAATAATGGAGGCTGCTCTCACCTCTGCTTCGCTAAGACCATCAGTTTTGTTTGTGCCTGCCCAGATGAACCAGATGGGCGACCCTGTTCTACTGGTGAGTGTTCACTGTTACCATTTTATAGACACCTGAGCTAAACTGCAATCCCCAATTCATAATACTGTTTGTTAGGACTTTCTTATCCACAATTTCAGACAACAAAAATACAAGACGGCTATTAATTATTAATTACAGCTATTTTTTCTGCTTCTTTAAAACTTCAGCACTGATTTTAATTATTCATCATTCTTTTTCTCAATGAAAAAGTATTTTCTAAAATTGCAAAGCAACCAGACCCAGCTGTAGGGATGGACCAACAAGGCGAAGTCCAAGACATCACAGTAAATTGATCAATTTAGCCATTATAATAGCAATAATGCAAGTATGTATCGAGAATGAAGAATGAAGAGAATAGACTATCAGCCTTTATTCTGTGTCTCATTATCTAAAAGTCTCCATCCATCTTATATTCTTGATACTTAAAGATGTTTTGCATTATTACTTTAGCCAAAAAATGAAGACATGAATTCCAGTGTGTTTCTGCTTACTCCCATTCTTATGTGGATTTGTTGCTTCAGTTGCAGGTTACATTCCCACTTCTCCTACCAAAGGTGCCAGCAGCACTCCTGTCCCCAAAAAGATTCCCAACAGACCGACAGACTCGCCACACAGGGGACCCTCGCTTACCAAGTGCGTCTGTTTGTTTGAAAATAATGACTTTCCACAGAATGTTCTGAAAGACAGAACAGTAGGAATGCCAGCGTATATAATTAAAAAAAAACCAAATCACATTAGCTCTGGATTCAGTTGCATCAATTTGACTGTATTGCATATTGATGCTAATTGAACTGGTTTCTTTCTCCTATAGAGAGCTTTGAAATTGCATCAGTTGGGAATCAGAGCTATATAATTAAGTTTAGGAGAAATTAATTGATAAGAGCAGCATCTGGTCCACACGGCTTTCACTGAATGTTCTGATGTATAGGAAAGAGCTATCACTGGTCTGAGTCTAAAAACGCTGCTTAGTGGTTTCAAGATGCTTCTTTTTTAAGTGCTTGGGGATTTGTCACCATCCCATTAAGGATGTAATAAAAGTTACAAAGCTGAAACACAGTCGTGAAAGGTTTCCAAAGAAAACCCACCACAGATGTCTTCATTACCCTTTTTTGTGACAAGACAAGATTATGACAAGCTGGGCTTTCTTCTTATTTTCCTCAGCTGCACTGAGAAGGATTTAAACGCTGGAGCCTGCTTGAACACGGTGGTGACAGCCCCTCATGGTGAGAACACAACAAAACATACTTTTGATCTTTGCAGACTGGCTATAAACTAAAAATCATACTTGTGTTTTTCTGTCAGTGATACTAAATATAAATTTTTAAAAAGTTCTAACAGTTTTTATATGTCCTACACAGAAATACAGTACAGTATTTCAAGTTATGTGATTCTTTCTGTCCTATAATCTAATGTATTTGTTTGTCATTTTAATGTTTTCCAAAAATACAAATGTTGCAAAATGCAAAGAAAAAAATGTATTTAACTGAGAAAATCTGCTAATCTGTTGTGTAGAAAATGTATTCTGTCATTCTTATTTAATTATAAATTACGAAAAAAGGCAAGTCAGTTAATTTGTGGCTAAACAATAAAATGCCTCAGTGCTAATGTAAAATGTTTACATTCATGTAGGAGAAGGACTTCATATCAGCTATGTGATTGGTGGGGTTCTCACCATCCTGGCGATTCTGATCCTGATTGCTGCTTTTATCATTTACAGGTCAGTATCCCACTTATTGCTCAGCCCAGGCATACACTTAAAACAAATATAGTTTTGACACTTGACAATTATTTTTCTTGACCAACAGACACAAAAAGTCTAAATTTGCTGAACCCGGTGTGAGCAATCTGACCTACAGTAACCCCTCCTACCAGACATCCACACAAGAGGTCAAGATCGAAACATCGCAGAAGCCGCCGATATACAACCAGCTTCGATATAAGAAAGAGGTAAAGAGCATACTAACAACAGAGTCATTGTAAGGACGACTAATGAATTTTTGGGGATAGCGTTAATGTTCCTGTTCAGATTCTTCTCTCTGAATGTTGCAGCTTGTGGTTTTTACAGGCCACAGACACCAGTGCTCATCTTCTCTCCATTCTTTTCTTCATCGCTGCAGCTCTCTCATCCCTACAACTCTCTCTCCCCCTTTATCTTTTGACCCACTTGTCCCAAAGAGAGGTAGCTGCACAGCATGAAGGAGTTGTGTCCCAGTGGTTTTAGATTGTTTTTCTTTACCTTAATTTATTACTGCATGAAAACTGCTCTCCAAAGATTGCTAACACCTCTTTTGTGCAGTTCTTCAAGCTTAATAGTGCATAGATAAAACATGACTGAATGGATAAAAATGCTATCTGAAGCATGCAAAACAATCTCCTCAAGATCTCCCTGTTAAATTTCCATTGTCCAGTTCCAAAATCCACTGGTTAAACATATAGCACCTTACTCTGAAAGGTAAAAACTAACAGTAGGGCAAACATCATTACTAAAAAAATAGCCTCCTTCAAGCTGCACTATATAATTTTCATAAGACATATTTTGTCATATTTTTTGAAACTGTCACTGTCATGACAGTATGGTAGGAGACAAAATCATACTTCTGTGGTTTCTCCCAGTTCTAACTATAAACAACCAATCAGAGCCAGAAGAAAAGTCTTAACGCTGTCAATCAGGCTTGTGTGCGCCTTCTCACCTTCCCCCTTGGTCTCTGCTATGATACAGCTTCTCCCCATCAGTAGAACATGTGGTGTATGCTAATGTCAGTACGCATGACCATTGATAATGACCGATAAATAAATTTCCTGTAACAGTGGTTTCTCCGCCATTAGCACACTTAGCAACATATTCACATGTTTGATTGAGAGCACTAAGACCTTCCCCTGGTTCTGATTGGTTGTTTTGACCAGAAGCAGGATATTTTTTCCGGACTGCAATAGTGGCACATTGAGGTGGAGGAGCTCGATCTTTTCTATCTGTCTAATATTATAGTGTCATGACATGATGAAAGTTTTAACAAATATGTAAAAAAAAAAAAAAAAAAAAAATACAGAAAAAACAAACATTTTTTATAAAAGTTACATACTGCAGCTTTAAGCCATTAGTTCTGACTTATATTTTGTATTGGAGTGATAAACTGCCTGCTTTTTGATTAATCCAACTAGCAAAATTATTTTTAAAATGTTGAAGATTAAGTATCATAATGTTGCACATTTTAATTTGAAGTAGAGTTGCCTGCTTTTGGACAGGCATAAATAACAGAAAAACTAAAAAAAAAATAACAAAATGAAAACCCATCATTTCTCTTTTACTTCATTACTATGTACTTATCATCCTGAAAAATCTTGCATAAATATGAGTGCATGATGCTTCTTTGAAGGCACTATGGCAACCAGTTTGATCAACATTTTGTCTCCTCATCCAGGGTGGAGTGGATGGAGGTTACACGAAGGAGAAGATCCGCATAGTGGAGGGTGTGTGCCTCCTGTCCAGTGAGGAGCTTTACTGGGACGACCTGAAACAGATCAAGCCGTCCCGAGGCGGCCTGCACACCTGCATACGCACAGACACAGTGTCCCTGCAGACCAGCAGCGCTTCGCTCGACGATGGCGAGATGGAGCAGCTCCTCCAGGAGGAGGCGTCTGAGTGCTCCTCCATAGCCACACTGACACCCTCAGCCATCACCCCGCAGCGCCACGCCCAGCACAGCCTGCCCGACACCGGCTGGGCCTCCATACGCAAACCCTCCACCGAGAGCGAAGTGTGAGAGAAACTTTCTCTGCGCTTCATCTCAACTATTTTTCACATAACACACACGCATGCAGACACCTATGTTCAAAGCTGGTACAGATTCAAAGATTAACTGAAGTAAATGTAAAGTAATAGTTCACATGAACCCGGTTAGACACAACAAACAGCTTCTGTCTTTAAAACTGGAGCTCCGTCCTGGTTAAACATGTACACACCGAACAACAGAACTCCCAGTGCCACTTCCTCCAGGCAGAGTGATGAACTAAAGGAGCATGCCAGTGTAAGAAGGCAAAAGACTCCTGGGAGGATGTAAACAGACACTAAAACTACCTGGAGCCGATTTAAAGGACGGAAACTCGACAAGACGAGTACTTCTTTGTGTACCTCACGTCTACTTTTTGGAACTATTTCTGGGACAAAACTAAAGCTACATATTTCATTCAACAACAGTTCTCACTCAGATGCCAGTCATGTCTATATGAACTCTATTTATAAACCTTTTCTGTTTTTTTACTTGAGTGGGTTTTTGATGAGTGTTGTGTGAGCAGTTTGTGCAGCAGGACTTTTATTTTATGACGGTGCCAAAGGGCGAGACTTCATATGGTCTCCACGCTTCCCTCTCCGCCTTCACTTGCATTTGAGATTCTTGAAAACTTTTGGGCAGTTTTTTTTTTTTTTTTTTCTTCTGCGCTTACATTACAAACTGGAAAGTAAGCCAGTAAAATGTCGCTGTTGCAGGTTAGAAAGCTCACTCCAGATATTTTTTTTTTATTCTCATAAAGCCTCCAAACAGGAAAAAGGTGATCTACTCTCAGATGGTTTATGCATTTTCTGGAAACGTTGCTGAAAGTCTTTTAGTTTATATTTCAGAGCATGTTTTTTTTTTTTCTTTAACACAGAAAAACAAGCTTCGGGGATGCAAATTCCTTAGTGTGAAACACTTTAATCTTTCTCCTTCGGTTTTATATTTAATATTGTATTAATTAAAATGTTGGTGACATTTTTCTTAGCTGCATAGCCTTTCAGATAGACGCAAACATCTGAAAACAGCTTTGTCATTTCATTCAGCATATCATTCTTTGATCTTCCCCCAAAAAAGAGCAATATTTTTTGCTGAGGTTTTCTCTACGGTTAAATATTACCTTTTTGTAGCACTTACTTTTAGAATGTAAAGTTCTTTAATATTAACTAATTCAGTATGGACAAAACAGACTCCTCAGATCTCAGTTTATTTATGTTCCCATTTTAAATGTATTATACATTGGTTTTTACACAGTATTCCCATGTCTGTACGGAATGATCACATTAAAGCTCTTTTTAGCAACTTGATCACAGTTCGATTTGGCTTTCTGCATTCATGACTTACATTTTAGAAGCAAGTGGGTCAGAAATCTGGCACACAAGTATTTGCTTGGTGAAATGCTGCTTGGTTTAAAGATGACCTAAGTTTATCAGTTTGCATCCTTAAAGCAGCCGTCAACAAACGGTACAGTGTGCAAGTCCCACCACCTCAGTGAGGATTGTCATTTCTCTACCAAGCAGTTTTTGGGTATTGCTTTAACGTTAGACTACAGTCCTTGCTGTTTAAATGCAGTACGTAATCCTATATCACTATACAGACAAATATATCTTTTAGACGTAATAGAGACATGTATTTTGAAGTATCTGCTACAAGCTCAGCAACTTGCTGATTTGCTGCTAGACTTAGCACTGAGGCCAATGGAAGAGGGTCTTGGCAGCTACATAACTACAGTCTCTAAGGATTAGTTGACAGTAGGAGCTTTTGGAGCATCGTGACGACTCAGTATTAAGTTATCCCGGCTCACAGTCTCTCCAACTCTGCTGCAGGAAATGCTAGAAACTGTACATATTTTACCATATGGATTGTTGAAGCAAATGTTTCTGTTTATATTGTGTTAATGGATTTGTAAAGTCTTTTGTACAAAGGGATTTCATGACCGTTTTTAGACTTTTATTAATTTTACTCACTGGAGAGAAAAAGTTTTTTTTTTTTTTGTTGCTGTTTTTGCTGGATTATTTTAACCACTGTGTTTTTAAGCTTTGTAAATGATAGGGAAGGTGCCAGTTATTTAATAGTGCTCTTTTATCTTATGAAATACTGGTCACATATAGTTGTTGTAAAGTTAACAAAGAGGTATTTATGATTTTTTTTTTTTTGGTTGTCATTTATGTGTAAATATGAAAAGACTGTATATGTATTTCCCTGGCAGTACTAACAAGCTGTGTTGTGTGATATAGTGAATTATTCCTTTGCTATCTTTTAATATAAAATGGCATTTGCATTTCAGTGAAACATTTGACTCACTCATCTTTGCAGTTTTTTGCTACATTTTTTACATTATGTTTATTTCTTCAGAAATGAAGAGAGAATACGATCAGCTATAATTTCAAAGAATGAAATTTTAACAAGGGCAAATATCAAGATCTTTTTCAATTCACATTCTACTCCACAGATTGTCATTTTTCCATGAGTCAAGTAGATTTTTCTGATGTAAACCTAGTAAACCGGTGTAAAAGGGGAAAACAATAGTTATATAGGTTGTTGATCTCTGCCTTATATAATGTAAAACAAAGTATAAAAAGTAGAAGAAAAGTTGAACTGAAATTTGCAAAATAATTTTTTCATGCCCTCCAACTGCATTAGGTACTAATTCAGCCCTCCAGCAAATTCAACAGATGCAAATGAAAACGTTTTCTATTTTTTAGGGTGAAATTTTCAGACATATTTCTTCATTTGAGAAGTACATAATGTTTCCACTCTTGCTTTCATTTTGATATCGCAGTAAAAGAGAGAATAAAAGCGGCAAATATTCTACAAGTTCTTTGATTATTTATTTATTTGGCTGGAAATAGATCTCATTCGACCCAATAAAATTCTATACATATTTAAAAAAACATACACATATTCATATGTTGGTTCCAAGAAGATTTAAATAGATTATAATTTGATGCAGTTTCAAGTGGTAGAATATCTTCATATTGAATTGGAGAAAATATGTTGCACAAAATGTTACATAATGTCAGACAATGGGCATAATAAGATAATTGTGGGTGAAATCCCTTTATTGAAAAGTTTTATGATGTTTTGTCTAGTTGCGATAGAAAAAGTTAGGTGATCAAAGAAACCAAAAAATCACGTAGTCTCGCGAGCAAGAACGCGAACCAGCGGGATTTTTGTGAGATTTTGATAAAAGAACAAAACACAACATGGTTAGCGGTTTGTAGTTGGATGATTTAAGGCAATCCGTCTTCAAATACGTGCCTGAATTTTTAGGTAAAGCGAAAATGATTAAGAGTGGATGGGTAAAACGCCCTTTGATCCAGGCTTATTTCCGCTAGGTGGCGACAAATCATCTAAAAGTTGTTGCCAGCCGCTTTGTAAAGAAAGCCGAAGAAGGGTCGATCTGGTTTGAACCGATTCGCCATGTGGGTTCAAATGAAAGAGGCACGCTGCTCTGATAAAGCAGGTAAACTTCACGGTTTTTAAGCTTCGAAGTTGCATTATGACATTAATAGACTTGTCTAGTCAATATAATGCATATATATTTATAAAACCTTCGAAGGTTTTGGGCAAGAACTGTTATTTTGAAGTAAATGTTTGATGCTGCCTTCATTAGATGTTAGCACTTAAGCTAGTTCGGCTACCTAGGGTTTTATGATCTTTTGTAACTTTATGATCTATTGATTTAGTGGATATTTTACCTTCCTAATCAGACTTTATTGTAGGATATTAATTATTAAACTCTTCCACTCTGTTCATTGTCATTAGCTTACCTGCTTGTTTTCTTTGTTCACAGATGCTACTAATTACAAGAAACTTGCCTCGGGAGTAAGAAAAAAGCTTGGTACCAGTCACGGTGGATTGCGTTGAATGGATGAGGCGTCCCGTCGGTTTAAATTGGAGTTCAAGGTACAAACAAGCTGGGCTCCAATTCTCCTTAGTACAAGATCAAATCAACGGCATGGAGGGTGTGAGAGTGATGAGTTGCACAAGTCAGTTGGGTGTTTGCTGCAGACAACCCGATCCGACATGAGGAGACAAAGTGTGCGCTGGGGCCATCTGGCTAAATCCCCATCCATAAAGAGAAACAAAAAAAAAAACTATTAACTAATTTAAACACGTTTCCTTGATGAGTCATAATTTATCCACGCGATTGATTAATCTGCAGAATTTGAAAATGTTATTACAAAGAATGGTTGCTCAGTTAGTATCTCTTGCTTCTGTCTTGTTGTCTAATCCCAGCATGATTTATTATTGTTGAGATCAGGGCTCTCTGTGGGCCAAAGCATCCATTACAGAAAGCCTTTTTTCCCTTCACTTGCATAGTGTTTTATGGTAAGCTGTTTTTGTCAGAGTCTGAAGCTTCAAAGTGCTGCTGTATGCTTCCCCTAGAGATTTAAGAAAAGGGATTTTTCTTTTCCCCTCTCAGAAGGAACTCTTAAGTGTTTTTCTCTTTAGTATCTTCATATGTTTAACTTGAAACTATTTGCACAATTTATTTTCATATTTTGCTGTAAAGCACTTAGAATAATGGGTTTCTCACTCTGTACCTCAGACACTTTTTTTTCCTCATTTCACATAGAATTAATGTGAACTAAACAAAAGAAAAGCATAAAAATATGATTCTTTTTATCCAATTTTTTAACAGGGATCTTCTTAAAAAAATGTGTTTGAAATCTGTTTTTCTCAAACATTGTTTTGACATCATTTAAAGTACTTTTAATATAATACACTGAGCTAAACAAATTTATTTTCCAATTTTCTTGAAACACCTTTTAATTTATTCAGCCTGATTTCTTCCTGTTTTTATGCTGTCTAGAGTCGGGAAGCGAAAGGAAAAATCTTGTGAAGATTCAAAGGCTCGGCTCCGCAGACTTGAACTGAAACGTCTTCGTCTCTAAAGGTCTGTAGGAATTAAATATTCTCTTTTTACTAGAGAAGTAAAACTGAAGGATGAATTGTGTAACATCCTCAAGACTCTGAAGTGAGTCAGTGTGCCTCCAGTCCCTTTGTTTTCTTTAGAACTTCGACGTGCCATTCCCAAAAATTAATGGGAATATTCAGCTATGTTACTTTATAAGGAACCTTAATCTCCACATTTTCTCCAATTTATAGGAGCTGAAAGTTCTTTTTAAATACATGCACTGTCTGTGGTTTACAGTTTCTGTTTATTTTACAGCCTAATGTTTTGTTTTTTTCTTTTTTGTAAATCCTCATCTTCCTTAAAATAATGACCACACAGACAAAAAAAACCAAAAAACACTTTGTTCTGCTATCCAAAGTGTCTCTGAGTCTTGAGTATCCTTGCGGAGGTGGCAGTGATGAGTTGCACTATTACCCAGGTTGCTGTTGCAGTGGCACAGCAGGCCTGTCCTGACACAATGTGTTGACAGCCATTGTGCACAGGGGCCATCTGAGTCGCCTCTTCATGGGAGAAAATAGAAAGTGGCATCTTTTAGGTTGTGGTGTCAGTTTATTTCTTCCTATTTGATTTTATTGCTGTTGTTTTTTCCGTAGGCAGAAGATGGAAGCTGTGGAATGAGATGTTTTTAGTTCAACAACTAAAAATCACTCCCAGGTGGGACAGTCTTGTTGCAGACAAACAAGCTCAACAAGTCTTGCTCGGTTCGCAGTTATAAAAAGGTTGGGGGCCACTCTACTAGAGTATTGGAATGCTACGACAAAAGTAGCATTTGAAAAGTAACTTTTATTGCATCTTGTTGCTCAGATTTTTTTTTTTTTTTTTTTGCAAAAATATATTAAGATGCTTTATTTTGTCTGAACAGAACAATGTTATTTTTTTCTTTTAGATATAAAAACAATTATGACTTTCAACCAAACCTTAACCATGTCAGTATCTTATCGTATTTTTTAGTAGTAGTATTTTGAGTGAAAACAATTGGACAAAATAATTATCTCCCATTTAAGAGTATTGATAAAGAATGTTGTTTTTTTGTTTCTGTAACTAGATCCTGTTTGAAGGTAACTTTGTTTTTCAGGATTCATCAATATTTTCTTTCTTTCTGGTTTAGAGACTCCCTTTATCTGAAAATATAAAAAATAATCTGTAACCAACTTGAAACCTCAAAATGCTTTGGTTGGTTTAATTATAACTGAAATAAAACTGAATAACTTAAAAATAAATTTGGTGGATGTAATTATTTAAACTAAAGGTCTTTACTGTCTTAACTGCCATAAGACATTTTGTTGAGGTGAAAAACAGTGAAGCCTTTGCTGAATGCAACAGTTGTTAATGTGACATTGTGATCCAGCCAGCTGCATCTTGCTGTTCTTGTGGAGGGGACAGAGTTAGTTAGAGCGGGATTGCAGGTTGAGGGATTGTGTTGCATCAGCGGCCACCACACTTAAACGTTTGCGTTTTGCTTTTGTCGACCAGACAGGTTTCATAATGCAGGAATGCTTCTGGTTGGGTGGTATATTGGAATTTTGATTAACACATTTCTCAAGAAATACTGCAAGCAAAAATGTATTGAGGTTGTTGCTGGGTAATAAAATGACTTAAAATTTATTATTGAGGAACAGAGAATAATCTCAATAGAGGGAGGCTTTAAATCCAACAAACAGACTATATGTGTGCTTTATAAGATGGTATGTAGGGCCAGTATTAGCTACTATATTTTTTAGAATGTATTTGCAATATTAACAGAACAATTGGTCTTGTATATCGGTATATTGCTAGTTAAGAAAATATAATTTCACCACTTTACATATAATACATAGTAACCTACAATGCATTAGGAAATTATGGGTTTATGGTAAGTTTTAAAGTTAAATGTGTTTGTGTTGACATGTTTCTCTTAGAACTAGACTGTTGATTTGAAACTTGTGATAATTATTGAACCTGTTCAATAAATAAACATTGTGATTATTTTTTTTTCATATCACTGTTCTCATTTCACTACTCACCTGCCTGAAGAAAGCAGTAAAAGCTTCAAATAAATCCTGTAGCTTCATTTCATTTTATGGATTCATCTATAATTGGCCTTTGTTTGATGTGACAACATGGCTTCAAATTTCCAGGCTTAACTTGATTTTCTGTTTTTTTTTGTTGTTTTTTTCTTTTCCCAGATCCAGTTTTACTACAAGATCTAAATCTATATCCAGTGAAATTAAGTTTGTGGAAATATCAAAACACAGCTGCTGGCTTTTGATTTCTGTTGTACTCATTTTAACCACTAGGTGTCAGGTGTACATCATTGTTTTCCTACTGTCCTCTGGACAAATGTCCAGAGACTGAAATAAGGGACATATTGGATAAGATGCCTGCAAGTTTCAACCACAAATTGTTGCTGTAGTTTGACAACAAGTCCTTACTGCAGGTTCTAAAACTGATTCACATTTCTACAAGTTTTCCAGGCTTATGAGAATTTAAAAAAAAAAGCATGATATTACAATCTTTCTCTCCTGACAGATGAGTAATGTATAGGGTTTATCACTCGAAGGTTTTACTTCACTTTGTTTTTCTTCCAATCATAACTCAGGGTGGTAGATGATTCACACCTGCACAGAATGGAGAGTAGAGTACATTAAGCTTTGACTTTTAAGTATGAGCTCTCTTGGAATACCAAGAATTCAAACTAGTCATCTGCAGGTCATGGCTCCACTAGTGAAGGGTACATTAAGAACATTCAGTTTGAATCAAAGGAGATGTCAGCAGTGAAAGGAACTCAACTTGGAGGTACAAGACACGGGTTAATTATTCATCTTGTTAATAGTTGACGCTGAGTTTCTTTAAAGAGCGGTCTCACATTGGCTGTGTTCGTTTTCTATAGCACCTAGTTGTCATTTCTCACCTGAACTTCTCAACATCACCTGCCTGTCTGAACTGTTACTGAACAAAATCCTCCTGTCCTTCTGGGCCCTTTTTTTTTTGTCCACCTGAAAATGATTGCACTGGACTCGAGGCTGACACATCGGGTGTTGAAGAGATGTTGTACAGTGTTGTTTGGAAGAAGAAAAACATGTTCAGATGTTTTCAACACTGTGTTTTCAGTCATTAGAAATGTGGTGTGGAATTATCTGTGGTCTCCAGACTTCCTGTCCAAGCAGCAGTTATGGATTATACAGTGAATAACATGAGAATTACCTTTTGAACAGTGTACTGCTTCACCTTTTCATCCCATATCAGCCCTATGTCATCAAGGAATGAACTGCACTGAGACCCCTCATGGTCTGCTGCAGTGTGTGGTACCAGGATCAAGCAAATTTTCTAAGAGAAGGATGTTGAGAGATGTTTTCAACATGTCGAGCTGTAGCACAAGCGGGATTTTCAAGTTATTCTCTGATTTAGTTCTGTAAAATTTGTCTCCCAGGTCTACACCTCAAAGTTGTTCTCAGTCAAACCAGTTCCTTTAGCAGCACACTTCCTACTGAACGAACAACAACTATAAAGAAGTACTGTCTCCATCACAGCTCATGTTCAGCTGTGCAGCAACAAACAGTCACTAAAGACAGTTTTCTGGATGCAATCAGACTCAGCATTTACTACCTCAAAAACCTGAGTTCCAGTTTATCTACTGAATCAAGACATAATTGATGACCCTGTCAGCTTCCACCACATTAACTGAGAACAAAATGTCCTTTTGCTACATAGTATCCATCCCCTTGTAACAGGTGGGATCCCCCTTTTTTTTAGGTCTGCCTGTAGTTCTTTGAGTCAATCAGAACATTCCTCAGTATTTTGATCCATGCCAGTTTGGTAGCAATTATGCAGTTGCTGCACCCCAGCCCTGTGGCTCTGTTGGATTGATTTCTGTGGAAGCCACTGGGGGACTGTGAACTCTTCGTTGTGTTTAAAAAACTTGTGTGAGATGATCTGAACTTTGTTCATATCATCCAGCAGGTTCATCATTCTGCTGGAAGGGAGCAGCAAAAGATGGGTACATTGAATAATCACGGTTCCCAACAATACTTGGGTAGGAAGAGATCTTTAAATGATGTCAGTTTGAACCAAGAGTCCCAAAGTGTGTCAAGAACATATACCCCACCTAATTGAACTGCGCCATCATCATGAACTGTTGGTTCCAGGCAGGATTGATCCATGTTTTCGTTTTGTCTACGCTAATATCGAATCCTGTCAATTGAATCCTGCAGCTGAACTTTCAACTCCTCGGGCCAGGCTGTGTTTTTCATTGTGATAGATGTGCTGAGTCCTTCTGTGTTGAGGTTCAATGTGTTGTGCTCTACTAGATGTCATACAGCTTACGTTAGAAGTCAGTGCATATTTGAGTTGCTATTGCTTTTCTATCAAGGCCAGTTGATCAAAGTCACTTGTAAAGTCCCATGTATACCTTATGCTGATGCTCTGTTTAAACTTTAGGAACTTGTCATCACCACAACTAGACAATTAAGCAAATTGAGTTCTAACTAACTAAAGTGTCTGACTATATCCCACCCACTAGCAGGTGCTTAGTTGAAGAGATAATCATTGTTATTTTTTTCATCTGTCAGTGGCCACAATGTTATGTCTGATTGGTGTGTTTGCAGAAGTCTTTAACAGAATTGCTTAAAGGATTTCTAAACAGTGAAGTGTCAAAATCAATAATTATGCAGTTTGTAAAGCAGAAAGTCAGTCTGCTATTAACTGAGTTGTATTGTTGGACAGTCAGTACAATGTTGAAAGAACAATGCATCTGAATATTCTTTGCAGGGTTTCTGTAGTCACAAGATCAGTTAAGGATTAAATGAAATATTGAAAGAGAAGGAGAACTAAGGTAAGATGGTTTGACTTTAATAGATGAAGAAAACTGAATATTTACCTTTTTCAGCCTTTTCAGATGAAACAAAGCAATGGTTTTATCTGGATTGGCTTTAAGAGTTTCTCATCCCACTGAACTTTAAAGATTAAAGACACAAAATGGACATAAAACCATGTGAGGGAAAAAAAGTTTTTCCCTTAACCCACATGAAATCTCTTCTTTTTCTTTCCCTTTTCTCTGCTGTCTCATCTTCTTTCATTTTCTCCTGGAAGAAGACCATGACAGAGCTATGACTGACAAGAGTGCAGAGTGATCACAGAGGGCTCACCGACTATTTTTATTAGAGGAGACAGTTCTTGTTTTGCTTTTAGCCGAGCTCCTGTGGGAATTAAAGGGCACACAACTGGAGGCAGATGTTTTGAATTTCAGGGTGGAGGATTACTCTCAACATTTGATGTTGAAGTGAGGCTGAGATGGGGACAAATTTTAAAAGAAAAAAAAAGGAGATGTTTGTTTTGCCTCAGGAAGTTGTCTTGTGAGCATGCAGGTCCAGCGGGAACCACACTTTCCCTACGCCTCTGAGCAAACGTACACTGGATGCTGTGCTGATATGAGCTGCTGATCAAAGGAAGGGTTCATATCCAAACCTGAAATAGCTTTTTCTCCTTATCAGGTCATGTTGATTCGTTCTGCTCCTAAAAAATGACCCAACATAGAGGAAACCTCAGGCCCTGGCGAGCTCTGCTCATGAATACTTACACACAACTGTCACACATTACACTACTGTGGGCTGATAGAAGACATTTTGATGGCAGTGATTCATAGTACAGTCAGAGGCCCTGTTAATGAAGAGCTAAGCAACAACTTTACAAGTCCCAAATGGGTTTACTCAGAAATTTGTTAATGCATTAATCAGCCTTGAAGGGCCTTTTTAATGCCATGTTTAGAAGCTGATGCATTCTTTCAGAATAATTTCTCTGTGTGACTCAGGCATTTTCAGTTTCACATGGATGGGATTGACTGTTTAATAAACTAACACAGTACATATATTTTCTTATTGAATGGCAGATATGGTGTGTTTAAAAACCCTCCTACATATTTGGACTTCGGTTACTAAGGACACAGCACTATTTTATAATTTCTGCACAAGAAAACAGCAGGGTTGATGAATTAATGTCATGAAGTATTTGTATAAAAGATGTTTTAGTAAGTTGCACCACACTATGCTAAATAATAGCTGCTCAAAGCCATTTAGAAATTTAATTTCAACTCCTTCCACAAAGAGTTTTTTCACAATCTAGTTAAACATAAACACTGCAATTGGACAATCAGAGATGTAGTTTTAATGTGCAGAATGGCCTATTGAGCGCATTACTTTGCAAAAGTTTGCACATCCAAAATGTACATTTTTTTTTTTTCTG